CCAGTGATGATAACTGCTGAGTGATCTCTCCCTGTCCTTACCTTGACCCACAAGCCTTTGGCTGTATTTTCTCTCTCCTGTCCAGCTAAGGACGGCAGTGACAGAGCTGATTTGGTGGACACCTGGTGTCCAGCCAGGGTCAACCCACCACAGTGTCCTTCCCTGGCTCTGCTCTGCAGATGTCTCGCAGCTTCTATGATGCTGTGCAACAACAAAGGCTGTATCAGAGCTGGGCTTTGGGGCCATGGGTACAGGCAGTTTGCCCTGGCCACAGATGTGGAGGTGAAAGCTGGGGTTGTGAACAGAGGTTGGAGCTCCTGGCATCCATAGCCTGATACTATTTGATTGTGGATGCCATCCCCACACGTTGTATTAGGGCTTGGTACTGGGCTGAGCCTCCCCTGGCAGTTCTGCCTAATGGGCTGCAGCCACCAGCCAGGATAAGGGTCTCCACAAGTCCTGAGGAGTCAGCCTTGCTCCACTCTGTCATCCATGTGGGACATGATGCTGCTCTTCTCCCAGGCCTGGAGTTGCCCTGTTATGTCATGCTCTACACAGCAAGAGGGTGAGGAGCAGTCAGAGGGGAGGGGAGCAACCTGGTGGGTCCACATGAGCTGGCCTGGGATCAGCCCTGTCCCTGGCCCAGGGGTCAATATCTCCCCCAGGAATCCCTTTGGCAGGGCTGCAGCCACAGCCTGCTGCTGCATGGCTCTTCCAAAGACTCAGTCCTCTGGCAAACCAAAGCATCAGATCCAGGATGCTGAGTCTGTCTTGCAATTGTGCTCACAGGTGCTTGTTGCTGATCTGGATCCTTATTTCAGGTTTCTGCTGTATCAGCTCTTCTAAGCTGTCTGTTACATCCTGCCTGGGCTCACTCCCAGACTGATGCGGGTGGTAGGATCTCTGCTTCAGCAGCACACGTTTCTGCCTCAGTTCCTTCATCAACCTTTTATTTTAAATCTGTCTTTCCCTTTTCTCTCCAACCCCTCCCTCTACCACTTTTAGTATACTTGTTAATGTAGCTGCAACTTTCCACAAAGCCCAAAGCAACCTTGATAAATCTTCTTGACTTTAGTGCTGTCCTGGCAGACTGTAAATGCTTTCCCTGTGTCCTCCGGAGCACTTTTGCTCATGAGTTCACCAGCTGCCATGGCTGGGCTCATACCGCAAGACCCAAATCCTAAACCTTGCTGTGGAGTCTATCTTTCCCCCTGTGAGCAGTCTTGTTTGCATCTGGGTTGTGGTGCAGTGAGATCTGAGCCTCCCACTGGGGTCACAGTGTTTGGGCACCCTTCAGCCCATGCAAGGATGTGTCTCAAGCAGGACTCACACAGCTCCAAAGGCCAAAGCTAGTTTTTGCTAGCTAACACACGCAGTGTAGCTGGGGCTTAAGGAGCACAGGGACCTCATCAGCCCTATACACAACCCCAGTGCCTTGCTGGCTGCACAGGCACCACCTCACAGAGTGAAGAGTTGGTCTCTGCGGCCCCAGCACATCCTCAATGGTGTTTCCTTATTTCACCTCCCTGTTTGCTTCTTGATGGTTCCTTCCCACAGTGGGTTTTTTCTCATGAACCGTTGAGCTATGGTAGCAATGCCATCTCAACCACCCTACCTGTTCCTGTAGTGTCATCTTGTGTCCTTTGCTTCTGCTGTACAGATGCCCTGTGGTTCCTTCTGATGACTGTGCAATGCCTGCAGCAGCCTAAGCCATGGCCATGCAGCCATGAGATGGGCTTTGGGTCCTTGGGCACAGGCTGTTGGCCTCAAGAGAATTAAGGGGGTAATGGCTGGGATTGCAGACAGAGGTTTACATTCCCAGCTGCTGCTGGAAATGGTGGAACAGCCATTTGAAAGAGGGAAGGGGACTCAGGTGGTTCTCTGCACTGCTCATGTGAAGAAATGGGTGCTGCTGGTACCAGGTCTCCAGGACCATGACATGTCTCTCCTGATTTGAGTAAGGTCAGTCTGAGTCCACCATGCAGGCTGTAGCACACCAAGCAGAGACCTACATTGGTGGGCACTAGGAACTTCATTGAGATTTTCCACTCCTGAGCAGAACAAAAGGTTTCTTCTAAGCAAAAGAACTGGCAGTAATTGGAGTGTATCAGCAGGATGTTTGAACAGCATGGTAATAATAGTGCTGAGTTGCAGTGGTCTGGAGAGAACTGTAAGTTGTATGTTTTGTCTGTGTACATAGGCTGGCACATCACATTTTTAACCACAAATCAAGCCTATCTGTATGATTTACTTTCTCCTCCTACCATGTCCCTTTATTAAGTTAAATCAGTCATCCCACTGCTCTGTGATTTATGGCTTTATGTTTTGCTGGGAATGTGTCACAAAGCAAAAAGCAGAAGTTTTGATGTATTTTGATGTATTAGTAAAATCAAACTCGTATGCCTAGGGTGAGATTGGAAGAATTTAGTTTCCTCTTGGGTGAACTCTGACAGATGATACAAGTTTCCATCCTTCCCTCTTTACATCCTGGCTGTAAAGAAAAGCCTTGAAATAGGTGGTGGCCAAGGCTCAAGCATTTCCCAATCTCTGGACCTGTTCTGGTAAACCTTGACTTGCTCCTGTGGCACTTGAGGGCTCTATGGCACCTCTGCATGAAGCCGTGGATGGATGGATGGATGGATGGATGGATGGATGGATGGATGGATGGATGGATGGGTGAAGCTGAAGAACTCAAGAAGCCCAGCCCAGGTTGCCCTGATGGCCTCCAACAGCTGCGTGTGGCTGACATCAGCCATGGCCAAGTGAGTGTTCAATGACTCCAAGGATGAAGATGCCACCAGCTGACTGCCTGGGCAACAATATGTGGTATGGTCAGTCTTTGTCTTCACCAAGGTTCAAACAAGGAATATCTGACCAATGTGGGAGACCTTGTGCTGGGAGGGAATGAAAAAGAAGTTTCTCATTCAAGTGGAGAGGGAAATGCCTGGTCAAATTCCAAGGCCACTGTCTGGGGAGTGCTGTAGTCCAAACATGTTGGCTTACCCACCACTCCATGTGCTTTTCACTCTAAACCTGGACATAGTTGTACTTTTGTGTTGGAGGAAAATGCAGAGAGGCAATCATGGCCTACCATGGCACTGTTCCCTCTTTCAAAAATGGAGTCATCATCTATCCCCCATCACACCCCTTTAAGTGTGCTAAGCAGCTCCAATCACCCCTGATCTCTCCACTATGCCAATAGGGTATGTGGCCACAGGTACTAGAAAGGTCTGTAAAGGATTTACACCTCCTTAGAGAGTTTAAAGTGCTATTTAAAAGCACTCTTTTTTTTTTTTTTTTTTAAAATTTGCTGAGAGAAGGTCCAACTGTGTGTCAAATTGCCTCTTTTTGTCTCCTGTTCTTCCCAGGGGTAGAAAGCAGTTACTCCCCAAGTCCAGCTCTTCTCCATTTGATTGGAGGCTTGAGAACTAGTGAACTAGGATGCTAATGATGTTTATTAACTAAGCAAAACACACATCTAAAAAGCTTGTGACATCTTAACTACGTTATAAACACAGCACTGTTAGGTAGCTTAATTCACAATTGTGCCACTGCAAGTAATATGGAGCGATGATTCTGTTGCTTATTACTAGTATTAGTACTGATACATAATTATATTACTACAAAGAAATCTTATAAATCAAGCACTTATTAAGATGCAATTCTGTTGTCTTTCTTCCTGCACATAGTATTAAGGTATGAAGTCTATCCTTCCTTATGAGTTTGTGCATCTTTACAGCGTCATCCCACACCAAGTCTTGTGAACCAGCTGGTCTTCTCTGGTGGAGAGACCAGTGTATTCTCCAAGGGGGTTCCTTCCAGCATCGCTAGTAGTGTTGGGTCCACAGCACAGCTTTGGCATCTGCAGTCCTTCCGTCAGAAGCTTCTCGCCCTTCTTTGCTCTCCACCTGATCTTACACCTCACTGCCCATTCTTTTCCTTTTTCTGCACCCACATTTTTGCCTTCATTGTGGCTCTTTTTTTCCCCAAGTAAGCAATCCTTAATTATTCATTGGTTACAATTCTGTTTGTTACATTCATACCCAAATTCAGTGTTTCTGACACTGTTACCTTGGGTGTTTTAGTCCCATTATGGTGTTACTGATACAATTCTTTAGATGAAGGATGCCATAAATCCTGACTGTATGGTCCACACTGGTAGCATTTGATTTACATTTTCTGCTTTTTTGGGCAGAACTACCTTACTTTAACCTTACTCACCTACCTCAGTATATGTGTAAATCTAAATATATGCATGTATATATACATAAATATACACACACACGCAGAGATACATAGTGACTAATGCTAGTAACAAGTACTTACTATATGCATTATAAAGTGTGTATGATCTTAGAATAAAAATGCAAAGAGGAGTACAGGCATGGAATGAAAGTGACAGCCTTGAAGATATAGGTACAAGATGATACTTGAAGCCACAAAGATCTAACCTACTCACCAACTGTCAATCACTTGTCACCAGAGGAATTCAATCTTGGGAAATGGGATTGATTTTGGGGATACAGACCACTCTAAACCTGGTCTATGAAAGGTGTCCCTGCCCATGGCAGGGGTTTGGAACTAGATGAGCTTTAAAGTGCCTTCCAACTTAAATCTTTTTATGATTCTATGTTATCAAAGAAACAAAAGTTGGGACCAATAAGAACAGAACATACTTCTAGGTCAGGATGACCCAAACTGAAGTTTTGTTGTGGGTCAGCTGAAAGACTGATGTACAATCTCTCTCAAGGTGCAGTCTTCAAGTATGGGTGTGTCAGTGACACTAGGTAATGGTCTGTGGTGAAACACACAAAGATAGAAAAGTACTGTTTGTCCGCTTTGGCTCCTCCCCGGAAGGTCCCGCTTGGGCTGCTCCCGCAAAGTCCAGCTTTGGTTCCTCCTCAGAAAGTTCCGCTTTAGAACTCCCTGGAAAAGTCCTGACCCTTGGAGACCTTTCCTAGAAAGGTCTGGCCACTATTGCTGGCTACTTCTTCTGATGTAGGCTGGCCCCCTGTGCCAGAATGAGCGTGCATTTTTGTTAGTATAAAAGCCCAAGCCTCATGCGATGTGGAGAGGCAGACCCTCATACCACCCAGGTCAATGTTGCCTCCTCGGGGACTCCCGCTAAGGGAGCCTGCCACCTCACAGTGTGATGATGTTTCTCAGAGCTGGTTTCCTGATCATCATCACATGGTCTCTGGGGTTGGTAAGACAACCAAACATCAGAGATATCCTTTACAGTATCTTTTGTTACCTCTATATTTTCCCCGTATTAATAAATCAGTTATGATTATTCATTGTGTTGCATTTTTCTCAACCCAGAATCCTCAAACTCTGGAACAATGAGTATAAAATGGGTCTTCACTGCAGTTGTGAAGTGTATCTTTATTGTGATTGTACCACTGCTGATCTATGCTGCAGTGCTGCAGCTGCTGTAAGCTTCTTGCTTTTGCTTTTATTTCTAGGTGTGTTTTTGCTTACACTGCTTTTGCTGCCTTGAATATGATATCACAGCTATTAGAAAAAAGCACAAAGATATTACTAAGCATTAAAATGAGGTTCCCTTTCCCAACCTCTTTACATCTATTTTGTTTTTTTTTGGTAACCTGCTCTGAAACTTGGATACATTAAATTGGCAACAAGCTGAATGGTTGGTGGGTACATTTTTTGTCATAGAATGGCAGTTGTGGGGCTGTTCCATACAGGAAAATGATCTGGAAGCAGAGGGTGACCCCAGCAGAGGCAGGACAGTGTAACCACTGACCAGGTACAGTCTCACAGAACCTGGGCAGAACCAGATTCTATTTACTGGCCAGTGATCATCAAACAAAGTGAGGTGATGACAGTGGTTCAAGGTCAGTGCAGGAAAGCTAGTGAACAAATCAGGACTGCCAGGGCACAGGGCTGGACATCAATACACTTACAGCATAGCTCAAGCAGGGAGAGAGGCCCAAGCTGAGTTTAAGTGGAACTTCAGGACCAGTAGACAGTGGGTGCACAGAAAGAAATTCTGGGTGAGGTTGATCAGGACAATTAAGGCACTCAGGGCATTGATAACTGGATTGGGGAAGCTGCTGGTGAGTTAATTCCTGGGGGACTTAGCAAAGGTTAGGTTGGTCCCTTCTGAATAGTAGAGCTAAGAGGCTTGCTGGTCCTCAGAGCTGTCTTCCAGATAAAAACAACATTCTTCAGTAGAAGGTCTGGACTCAAACAGCCTGTCAGGTTTACAATGGAGGCATCATCTTGCCTGTCTCCCAGGAAATCTTTGAAAGTTTCCTTTAGCCTGTGGGTGAGACAAGATCACAATTTTAAGTGTCTGGAGGACTGCTGGGTTTCCAAATCCCATGGCCTTTGGCAGGCAATGCTGGCACTCTGCACTGGTTCCCCTGAGATGGCCTTGCAGCTGGAAGCCAGGCAGTATCTCTGGGGTATCTCTGGTGGTATCAGACAACAATGTGGGCAACTGTTGCTCAGCATTGTCAACAATACCCAAATACTGGTTGTGGCCTTCTCAAAGCTAAACAGCATCACCAACCACCTCTCCCATCTCGGGTGCAACAGCACACTGAAACTATCTGTACTCAACTCAATATATCCCCTGCCCCCTCCTTCATGGGGTCTGCGATGCTGTCACTGTGGCATTAGGAGATGTTTCTTATGCAAGAAACAGGGAAAGGAGGTGGTGTGGCCATATCCTCACACTGGGTTTTCTCACTAGTCCCGTATAAGGGGCACCTTTTTTGTTCCCTTACATGATCCCTTTTATTCTCCCCTAAGGCCAGACACATACTGAGCTGTTTAACAAGAATATAGCCAGCTGGAAAGTAATTTTTCTACTCTGCTGGCACTTGTGAAATCACATCTGGAGGACTGTGTCTGATTTTGTGCTCCCAGCACAAGAAAAACATTGAACCTAAATCTCCATGATGATATTATTTGTACTGGCTGTCTTGCTTCCCCATGACATGCAAGATGAATTGAAGGTGCTGGGGTTTCTGCTGTATTTTACTCCCACTCCTTTTAGCTGGGCATCACAAAAGGATTCAATGATGCTCATCACAGATGAGGTAACTCCCACTTTTGGAAGAGATGGCCCTTCTCTCTAGCAAGCTTCAAGAGCCCACCTTAAAAGAGATTCCAAGACCCCTTCCACCTGGGTCTAGAGTTTGTATCTACCCCTGGAATAAACCAGGAAAAATCTGCTCATACCCCCACTGTGGATCAAAGCTGTCCAGGTGCACAATGATCATCTCATGGAGCTCAATAAGGAACAAATGCAGGTTAACTGCAGAAAGCGCAGTAGTCAGAGCCGCCACCTTCTCTTCACTCAATTCCTCATGATACTGCTCAGAAACCAGGCAGAAAGGATTCTATAACAACAAAGAACATCAGCAAGAGGATGGCCTGGGACTTGCTGCAAAGACCATCTGGGGCTACATCTGATAGAAGAGGAAGAACTGGAAACCTCTTTGTTCCTAGCTCTTATGCCAGGCCGCCATTAGAGACCACAGCACCAGCTTATGTGACCCATGCCAGAAAGCACCACTGCTTCTAGCACAAAATCTTGTGGATGGCCCTTTTCCAAAAGTATTACATGACTTAAGCAGGTGAATAATGCTTGGCTTTTGCTGAGTGGTAAGATACTAAAATCACATATTTTTTTCCTAAAAAATTTCCAAAACTTTCCACACAAAATCAGCTTTGTCAAAAAGTTTCTGTCTTCCCCTAGCTCTTTTAGACAGTTTTGTGAACTGGGCTGTCTCCCTCACCTGATTCATCTGCACCAACAGTATAGATCTCTTTGCTGACAATGTTTGCCACAGAGACAGGATGTGCTTCAGCTGGCTGTTTGCTACCCCCTGGAAGAGATAAAAACAGATAGGCAATCAGTCAGCCAATTCCTGCTTTTCAGAAAGGCTGTGGCTGAGTTAGCATTGTTCTAGGTTAGGTCACAAAAAAGTGTGTGACCTAAAAGGTGATGTCTTAATCCTTAGGGAAGGGCATGAGGGATGGTAACGCTTAGCCATTTTCCTATTTAGTACAAAAAAAAGTGCCTTGCTTACCAATATGTCTCTGAACTGTTGTGCACTTGCATCCATCTTCAGCTCATTTTTTACATATTCAGACAACTGGCGCTCTGGGTTCCCACCAGTCACAGCCAGGAATTCAGCAGCCAGTTTCAAGGTGTCAAGTGTTTGGGAAATAGCATTCACTGATCGTGCTTCTTCCATGACCCATTTCAGCGTGTTCACATTTATTGATTCCTATCGATAGGAGAAATATAGACATGCTGTGACTTTGACACATAAGATCTGGGTCCTGCGAGTGTGTGCTCACAGCAAAGGAACTGTATAACCTCTGGCATCAACTCTGCCCTCTAATCAGAGGCAGACTTTGAGATACCTGGCTGATATCCAGGGTTTTCATGGGAAAGACACAGACTCTACAAGGACATGGGCTTCCCAGCCTAGTTGCAAGCAGGAACAATAACCCTACAGTTGACACTTGTGTTGATCTACCATGCCAGTGCATGGCATGCTGTGGTCACCATGTCCTGTTGGTTTAGGCACTTGTACAGATGAGTCCACCTGAGTGAGTTGACTCTATTCCCTTTACAGCCAGCAAAGAAAATTGGCTCCTTGTGAGGCCCCAGCCATCTGCCTGATGCGGACTTGGACCTTTTTACACCTCCTGCAGGTGCCATATTCTCTGCTGAGCTCTCTGTTTCCTAATATAGCTTATTAATAAGCATTACAAGACATAAGAAAGCTTGGGTGGAAAAAAAAGATGGTAAGCTTTTTATGTACCTGAGGCACATGTTCTCTCACTTTTGTTTTTGTGTACTTCAGGGTCTTCATTCTGTCCAGCTCAAAGAATGGAGCCGTCTGGAAAGCAAGTAAATGGATATGAAAACACAAAGTATCACTTGGCACAGGCCAACTGGAAAACCCATGACCATGGATTAAGACACAGCTACCAATGTCTTGGCTGCAGGGGTGGCAGCAGTGACAGCTTAGCGTAAGACGTATAGGGGAGGCGGAAGCAGGGACAGGCTACGCAAGTGGAACATAAGAGACATTGCTTGGAAATGCAAGGATGGAGTTAAGAAAGACAAAACTCATTTGCAGGTGAAACTGCTGAGACATGTGAAGGCCAACTAGAAGAGCTTCTACATCAGTACATCAGTAGCAAAAGGAAGACCAGATGAAAACTGGGCTCACTGCTCAACAGGGAAGGGGACCTACTGAAAAAGGATATAGAAAAGGTTCTCATTGTGATACTTGGTTCTTTCTTTGACCCACTTTTTACTGTAAAGGTCCGCTTTCAACCCCCTCTGTTTATGGACAAAATTTAGCGGCATGTCACAAAAAAAAAAAAAAAAAAAAAAAAGGACCAAATTAGGCACTACTGTACCATCGAGCTGATTACTCTCTTCCCTCCCCTTACCTCCAGTGGGATGGTGAAAGAAGAAAAGGAGAAAAAAAGTGAGAAAACAAAACAAGTGATGCAAAGGTAATGCAACTCACCACCTCCAATGGGTACACTGACACCCAGCCACTTCTGAGCAAAAGATGGCCAACCATCCTAAAATCCCTCTTATCCATTTTATTCCTGAGCATATTACACAACATGGAATACTTCTTCAGTTAGTTTAGGTCATCTGTCTCGCTGTGCCCCCTCCCAGTCTCTTGCGCATCCCCAATCTATTCACTAGGAGGGGCGAGCAGAATGAGAAATGGAGGCAGCCTTTAATGCTGTACAAACACTGTTCAACATTAGTGTGTTATCAGTGCTATTTTGGTCACAAATCTAAACCACAGCACTGTACAAGCTGCTATGATGAAAATTACCTCCATCTCGGCCAGACCAAAAACAGCTGGATATACATAGGTCCATGGGACCAGATAGAATGTATTAAGTGATGCTGAGGAAGCTGTTGATGTTAAGATATTTCAGCAACAACTGACATGACATCTGAGGAAGTTGGTTGATGATACCGAACTGGGGAAAGGAGCTGATGTGCTGAAGGGCAAGGCTGCCACTCAGAGGGCTCTCAACATGCTGAAGAAATGGACTAATAGAAACCTCATGAACTTCAGCAAGGACAAATGCAAATCCTGCATCTGGGATGGACAATCATAGGAAACTGGTTCTGAAGCAGCTTTGCAGGAAAGATCTGTGTGCCTGGGTGGACAGGTTGAACCAGAGTCAGCAGTGATTATGGTGAAAAAGACCATGTGCACAAAGGGCTGTAGTAGCAGGAGTGTAGCCAGCAGAACAAGGGAAATGACTCTTTCCGTCTAGTCAGCATTCATGAGATTACATTTGAGCACTGTATCCAATACAGGGTTCCTCGGTACATGAGATATTGACAAATTGAAGTGAGTCCAGCAGAGCCCAACAAGATGATTGAGTGTCTGCAGAACAGGATGCAAGGAATTGTTCACCCTGTAAAACAGAACTCTATGGGGAGAGCTTTTGCACTTCTAATTGTACTTCCACTACTAAAAGGGGGGTATCAGTGAAGGCAATAAGGACAAGGAGTAACATAGGACCTCCTACTTAAGCACACAGGAAACATTTTCCCAGTAAGGGTGCTAAAACACCAGAACAGAGCGGCAGAGAGGTGGTGAATCTCTATCCCTGGAGATTTCCAAAATTCATCCATACACTGTACATCACCCCAAACAATCTGCTCTCATTTTGAAGTTAGTTTTACTTGAAGAAAATGGCTGGACCAGAAACAAACACCCAGAGGCTCCTCCAGCCAAACTCTTTCAAGTTCCTCTGTGACTGTGTGTCAATTTCTCTGCCTATTCTACTCTACTACTGGACAAGCATGTAAGCCAGAATCACTATGTGACTGTTATAATCCTTGAACCCCTTATTCCTACTCCCTCGAAGCCAGATTTTCACATTTCACAAATCCTACCTAGTAGACTTTACCTCTGACATAAGAAATACCTGGGGCAACCAGTGGTTGTAGGAGAACCTCACATGAAGTCTACATAACCACCTGAGAGTTTTAAAGGGGCCGAAGGGATTTAGGTACTTAAATTCATTGCTGTCCCACAAGCCGTACATTTTGAGATGTATATCTCTGGCCTGCCTTTTCAGATGAGAATAACCATTTGCAAATCTGGTCCCCCAAGAGCTTGTGGAGAAAAGCCAAAGGCTGATGTGAAGATGTCTGCCACAGCAGAAGTCTGACTTCTCCAGTATGATTTAGAGGTCCAGCCCTATAGTATGCCCAGGGACTCAGCTCTCTTGAGTCTTTTTAGATAGCGTCTGACTCTTCCTTGGTTTTAAGATAATTCAGGCCAACCTCCCCTGCAGGCTTTGAAGAGAAAGGCTCACATTGCCTGTCACAGCACCAAGGTTTGCTGAGCACAGTGTGGTTTTTGACCGCACAGTCCAAGTAATGCAGATAGATGCAGAGTGGTGGGTGGGCTGCCAAACATACAGGTACCTTCACCTGTGTTTGCTCCAGCTCTGGAGAGGTGGATACCAGCTGCTGGAAGAAAAATCATATACTATCTGCTGGCCTGGAGCACTGCAACTTGGCTTGTGCTGAAAGTGCATTGTGCTAAGCTCACCTGAGCTCTGATGATAGGTTTCCCACTGATAAAACGTTGGATTATTTGCCGCTGTAGTGTCTGGAAGTCAAAATGGGTTGTCTTGGTGCCATCTTCATGTATCTCATACTGAGAGTTGACCAGTGTTGCAGTGATCAGATCATTCTCAGTTATCTTCAACATGGAGTATGGTTTCACTTCTTCTGCAGAGATGATCCTGGAAAAGAAGTTACCTGTTAAGGATAGCAGCTTGCTTCTTACCTCATCCCACTTTGCAGTCAGTGACACTGCAGTTCTAGATGAGTTCTGATTTTCTCCAGAGGGATGATTTGAAATTTACTGTTGCTTTTCCTTTGTGATCTGTGTAGCTGTGTCCACACAACTGTTCTGGAGCTGTATGAGGAGCTTTGTCACAAGGTAACCAATAGAAAGCGGAGTTGGGAGGAGTTTCAGGACCAGAGTGTTGGCACTGATGTCCTTTGGCAACTTGTCTGGGATGACTCTCACATCTGTAACAAAATGGAGGGTTTCTCTTCTGATGCATGTGGTGTTACGAAGAATTCTCCTAAGGGAGAAACTCTGGATAGACTTTGTTGAAATATTTTTTATTTTTTATTTTTTTATATTAGGTTTTGTAGTTTTTGAAGGTTTTGGTTTTTTTCTTTTTCTCAGCTAGGAAGTCAAACCAAGGCAAGTGCAGCAACTGGCATGAGTTCCATAGTTCATCAAGGGCTTAGGAAAAGAAGGTAACAGTATCTGAGAAGTTTAAATACCTGAACACAGTGGTTTCATTCTGATATTGCTCCAGACTTTCTGGATGGTCTCTATAGCTCGGCAGAAAGCTGAATGTTGGTCCTCTTCAGGCACAGAGAAGGGAGTAAAACAGAAATGTCAATGAATGCTTCCAAAAGGAAGGAACTGAAAAAGATTTATTTTTGTCTGCTCGAAAAACAGTAAGCTATGTTAGACTGGGCCTTGGCTGCCATTCACAGCTGTGGCTCCAAGCTTAATTAGAGTTAATTTGTTTCTACCCCATATTATATCATATCTGGCATTAAGGGGTGCTGAGTCCCAGCTCATGTGCACCATGCTAATACCCCATCTTCCGGTCTTAAAACTCTGTCTTGTATATGTATGTTGACCATAGAAGCAGTCTCTACAAGTTTCTCAAGTCCTGCTGGCTATACCTACTCTGAGGGTGGGAAGACAAACTGCCCAAGACCCATTCTAATGTTTCAGAGATCATTCCAGTGTCTTGGAGTTCTCTGCCCTCTCCTTCAAACATCAAAGGTGGCCATAAAGATGATCACTGTGAGCTTGCATCATGGCCCTGAGGGCAGTAACAGACCTTAATAGCCCTGATCAGCCTGACCCGAAGACTCCACCCCTTGCCCATGGGCCCAGGAGACACATGTAAGCTCAGGACAGTGCCTGAGTTGTAAGCAGCCCTGTCTCCTGCTCTCATAACTTATTGACTGGACCTCCTAGTCTCCTCCTGGACTTAATACCTTGCCTTGTATTATGATCACTGGATCTTGAAGGAACCCTGTTGTCACTGCCCTGGCCTTGCCCTGATCTTATGGGACTTCACCTTTGTCTCTACCTGGTCTGTACTTTGGTCACCCTTAGCTTGTGGTTTATCTTCCCTTATGGAGCAGTCTTGTGTTTGCTGCTCCCTCACAGCTTGCAACAGAAATTACAGGTCTTGCCATAACATAATAGCAGAGTATATGGGTATTGAGTTGTAGAAGCCAGTTTACTGGGATCAGAATAGGTCCATGTCATACCTGAAAGTTCGTGTTGGTCTAGAAACTGTTGTACTGAGTATATTTCCCCTCCATGGCAGTTCTGGAAGAAATGGATCAGAGCTTTCTGCAGACTCAAAATATCAGGCAGGTGTTGGACATGCTGGATGTTTTTTATCTGGAAGGGAAAATTCTTGCATGACTTTGCAATCTACACATTTATCTGAGAAACCAGGACTGTGTCTGGCATTATGTGGTATTTGTGAGAAGGGCATTGTACTAGGAAAGAGAGGGAAATAAATCAACTTAGTGCCCCACTGATACCAACAATAGTGAATTGCCATAGTGCCTGTCTCTGCTTTGAAGGAGGAGGAAATTTTCCACAGCAAACCTTAGACATGAGCTCCAGAAGAACAGGATAGTGACTCCCTTCACTTTCTTCGTGTTCTTGCTGAAGGAGATGCATCAGGGTCTGAATGGACACCTTCTGTTCATATCGCCACATGTAGGAGAGGCCAATCAGTCCAAAGTTTGGCTGGTCTTTGAAAGGGGTCATCTGGTCACAAGCTATTTGTGGGAGCAAGCTGGAGCCCTGAAGATCTCTCATTCTCTGCTGCTTGATGTAAGTAAGGTTCTGCTCCAAGTCCTGTGGAATTTGAAGGGTTGTTAGGTGATGCCTTTTGTTACAAAGGGGTTTGGAAGGACTTACAAGTCTTTTCATGAGTGAAAACAATGGTGGCTCTGAAGAAAGGGAGGAGATAGTAAAATTTTCCTGTTGAAGAATGAAGCAGGGTCAGGAGGAAGGAGGGGTTGAGCAGGTGGCTGTGTGGTGCCAAGTTACTGGCTGGGTTTAAACCACAACATGCAGCAACGAGTCCCTTGTGTACCTTGAAGAATGGCCGAGTCAGGGTTTTAAAGCAGGTTTCCCACTGCCTTCTGTCTTCTTGGCTAAGCAAAATATTCCAGTCCATGTTTTGTCCTGTAGGAAATTCAAAGCATTGTAAGGACCCTCACCCAGTAGACAGTGGAGTCTGTGCAGAACAGCTGTAGCTGTGGGATGAGAGCCACCAGGTCCAGTGGCTGTGTGAAAACAAACTTCTTGTAAGCCTGCTGGTACCCTCCCAGGGGGTGGAATATACCTTTACTGTTTGCACTGCTGCTCAGGTGCTGGAGGAACAGATGGACTGTCACTGTGGCATCCTCCATGTTCTTGCTACATGCCTCTGCCAGGCATTCAATGTCTTTCTCAAGGTGGCCCCAGAAGAATTTTGCCACATCCTCTGGCTTCTCTGTCATCAGATTCAGAATTGCCTGTAAGACAGGGTGGTTTCTTAATTTAGCTCTCAAGAAAGGTTCTGCCCTATTCATGCTCTGAATAGGGAAGAAGCTATTCATCATGTAGAAACTGCAGGCTGAGTGGCGTGGGCAGACAGACAGGAGGCAAGGGAGAGAAAAGAACATGGGCTGTCTCACCCCTTCGTCTGTATAGATGCCCAGCAGCATGGATGAATGCAGCAGAACTCTTGCAAGACAGACAGAGGCAGGCGACAGGTCCCTCTCCAGTTCAGTTCTCCGTATGGAAGGGCTTCCAAGGATGTATCCTTTTCCTGTTCTGTCCTGTGTGCTGTGATAAGGAAATGTAGTTCAGTTTACATTCTCAGTGACTAGGCTCCTCTCGTGTAAGTTAACATTGACAGAGGCTTGGTCATCCTTGGGTCAGAATAAGACTGAACATGGGGTGAGATGAAACTTTTGGAAGGGAAGAAATGCTGCTGAAGAAATGCTCTTTCCATCTGTTTCCACTCAAGCTTTTTCTTCTCTCTGTTCCCCCTAGTATGTACTTCTGAGATTTAGACCTTGCTTTGCTCAGCTACAGTGTTTCTCCTGTACCAGAGAACGGAAAGAGGGTCAAGTGGCCACATGTGTGTCCATCTTTCTTCAGCTGTAGGGCAGGGAGCATCAACTTACATTTTTATCCTCACAAAACCTTTCTCAGGTTTGTCTTTATGTCCTCCAATTTTGGCACCACATAGGCATCGTTTGACTTCCCAGGGACACACGAACTATAGGTAAAGATATGACAGCAGTGTGAGACCTAGCAGAAAACATAACAGCAGACAGAAGATCCCCAGCATCACAAAAAAGCCAAAAGGCACTCACATCATTGATGGTCCAGTATGATCCACACTGACAAACTGTGTAGGAAAGGAAATTAGATTAATCTGTTAATTATCTCCTAATTACAAAATCCTTCATAATGTAAGCACAACCAGAAATTCACTGGATGGGCTTTTCTTAAGCAAGACATTCTTCCCATCTATTGGGATCTGGTGTCACAACATTTTTCTTACAGAGTTTAGCATAAACGGCCTGAAGGTGCTGAAGCCGAAAGCAGACCAGTGAATACTCAACAGGAGCACTCCATCTACCTGTTCTTCCTTTCCCTCCATCCCCTGGAACATTTATAGCAAGTTCCCTGTGTCTGCCATCCATATAGGAGCAGCTGGGCTGGACTAAGGTAAAATTTTCCTACCACTTACTCCAAAGCGTATCATTTTGACCAGTTTTCCAGTTCTCATCAAAAGGCAGGTCTCCAGGCATGGTGGGAAGGTAGGACCTCTTAGAAAGGAAACAGATGTGTAAAGGAGAATTTGAGGAATTCTGTAACCATTTTCCTAGTTTTCTTCTCACCTACTGGAGAAATAACTGTTCTGCAAATAAATACATTAGGTGTAAATGGGTGCATGAAAAAGCTTGTCTGAGACATGGACCAAGGAACACGTCATTATATCAACTGGGGATACACTGGGGATTGGCTGGGTTTACAACAGCAGTGATGCCAAAGGTACCATGTTCATAAATTCTTTGGTATCTGCCTACCAAACTGAGGATTCACAGGGAAAGAGCAGGATCTGGACACTGCCATTGTCTTCACAGCCATGTGAAGACATACAGATATGGGCAATGCATGTTTCAAATACTTTCTGCATTCCTCAAATAACAGGAACAATTTATGCATCATTAGGTGCAAAAGGCGGGGGGGGGGGGGGGGGGGTCTAATCTAGTAAAAAAAAGTAATCTTTACTTACAGATGGCATATTTGTGGTCAGAATGAAGAAGCTTGGGCTAGGATTTGAGTCATGTAAGCTCAGTTGACAGCTAACATTTGACAAGGCCCCTTAGACCCACTGGAGAGATATGGGCACCTCCAGCAGGCTGTCTCCCACTTTCAATACAGATAGTGATGGACTATCAATACAGATAATCCATCACTATCCACTGATGGTCCCAGTTTCCTTTTAGTGGACTGTCCAGAAGAGAGCATAACTAGAAGGCTCCATTTGGTGTCTGCAACAAACCAGAAAGCTGCAAACTGACCCAAACCAAATCTGACAGAGCTGGTAGTGTAAAAGCAGGTCCCACCCCAACAGCCTTATCATGAAGGAAGAAACCATATCCCCACAACTTGACTTACCTTCACCTCACAAGGCTTAAAGCAGATAATTCTGAAAAGCTGAGCAAGGGGACTTTGAGATAGTGCCAGAGTAAATGCAGTGTGAAACACCACCTCCATCAAGACCTTGTTTTTGTGTTTGCACAGAGCAAACTTAGCCCAGATCTTCTCCATCCTGTTTTCCAGAGACTCTCCTGGGAGCACTGGTGTTTGGAGGATGATTTCCATTTGTTTTATGACAGGCTAGAAAAGAAATTGAACAAACCAGGTGGAATTTAAGAAGACCCATAAGGCACCTTTTGATGAGGTGACCACTGTTAGGCCACAAAAGTGGTGTTTTATATAAATGTGATCCTTTTGTCTCCAACTCAGGAGAAAATTCCTATATCTTTCTACAAACACCCCATAACACCCACAGAAATCTTATGTAGAAGATACAATGGATACTCACTATCAGCCTTTGGACTTCCAGGGGATTTCCAGTTTTTATTTGTTTTTTTGCTCTGTCCACCACTGGAAGCACCAGCATTATATCTGACCAGTCACCCGTATGCTGTGAAACACAGATATAAAATATGTTACCACAATGAAGATACCTCCAGCATGTGGAAGGCTGTATCAAGCTCACTGAAGCACTGAGATAAATCCCTCACAAATGATAATGTTATTTTTGTGTTGTGACCATAGCAAACTTTTTGCATTGTTTAAAATTTGTGCTTGTATCATGGGGGAAAGGTTGGGGTGCTGTAGAGATATGAGGTCTGTTCTGCCTGGATTTTGCTGTGCAATGGTTCTAGATTCTACAGTCTTACACACACACACCTAGGTCCCTTCAGGGGAACACTCACATGCCTAGCAGAAGTGATGGAGGTAAAATGATCCTCTAGAGGGCTTATAACTCTCTCCAGAACAGAAGAAAGCCCCAGGAAGAATTTTTCATTACTTAAGATGGGTGTTTCCTATCCCATCAGTAAGGCACACAGCCTTACCATCCCAGGTAAGGCACACAGCCTACAATACGACATGTAAATTCACCAGGCAGGGCTCAAGTCAGCCACCTGTAAACTCTCAGAGCTAGCAGCAAAGAAAAGCCTGGGTGCACCTGTGTGGTTGGGTGGCCCAGCTTCAGTGACATGTAGAAGATTTTGGAAGACACTCACCTGTGAAATTTCAAACCCTCTGGGTAAAATCCATTTTTCTGCCTGAAGGATCTTCTGTGCTGGGATGAACCCGTAGTTGTTACAGAGATTTTTAATGAGGAAGATTTGAGGCCACGGTGTCTCTGCATTTGCCACCAGCTCCTTCATTGCATTCACCAAGTCTTGCTCCTCTTGCCTGTTCCCCTGAGGAGACGGTTTGTTTTGTTCTGCAGCTACAAGTGAGATTTTTCATTAGGCTTACTCCCATACAGTTGTGTATTGTAGATTTTTTTTGTAAACACACCACCTGCCTAGGTTGCAGCAACACTTTTTATCCAAGAGTAGAAATGTGGCCTGCAACCATAGTATCCTGGGCTGCTTAATACCTGCAGTATGCAGGGAAGTAGAATACTGGGCAGTGGTTATGAGGACTTAATGGTCCACTGTTATCCCATTTTTAGTCTTTATAGGATCTCGGCCAGGTAATCTTCTCTAGCATATTTTAGGTCAGAAAGGAAAGCTCTCAAAGGCTATCCAGAAGGTAAAGAGCAATCTCATGGCTCTCTTCTAGGTAGCTGAGTGGGAATCTTCTGAACTATTCATATCTTGGCCTTAAAAGGGGTCTCCTGTATCTCCGTTTGTTATATGTGTTGAGATAAGACTCTGTTGGTCTCTTCACTCAGACTTTACTTGGACACCCTTTAAAGCTAACAAAGATGTAAGGAAGTGATTCAACAGAATTTAAAGTGCACTACATTCGCTTCTAAACCGAGAGGCTCACACATGTTCATTGTGAACTCCATTGACTGATACCCTGCTGCACACCACCCCTTAATTCTGGTGAACTATTTTTTGAGGGGAAATGCCAGTATTCATATAAGTCTCTTTTAATCCTAAACAAAACCTGGATGTTCAGTTTTTCTCATGCTGAAAAAATAATCCAGAAAAAAAAAAAAATGGCTTCAGGGGAAATCCACAAGTTCTAGGTAATATATACATTTTGAATGCAACATACACATCTTTGGATGCAACCCATTCATGTATAAAATTTAGCTACTTTAGCACCATTCAGTTTAAATATTGCCAAAAAATAGTTTTATAGTGTCAGAATAAGAGGGTTAAAAAATCATCTAGATTTAAAAGAAATAAATTAGCCCTGCTGATCCTGAATCACTTCTTGAAAATTCCTCTGTTAAACCTCTTAAATTTAGACACAACTTTGTCTTTTTGTTGTTTTAATCCTCTCAGAAGAAACCTCAAATGCTAGTGAATGTTTGGCTTCACAGATCTCATGTTCTCTGACTCACCGCAGAGCACCTGTCTGCCAAGCACAGTGGCCACATGGCTGATAGAGAACCGGAGACGGGCTATGAACTGGAGGGTGTCAATTTTTGAGGCCTCTTGTGAGCAGAAAGCAGAAAGGTCTGCAGTAGAGAGGCAACTTTCAGCAAGCTGGTTGACACTGTCTTGTGAAGAAGGATACATAAAATCCTGTTAAATGGGAAGAGAGAGGGAAAGGTAAGAGTCCAAAGCTGCCATAGGTTCTGTATAGTCCCTTCTTTCCTAAGCTTTTTCACCAGGTGCAGAACTTATTTCTGCTGCGATGTTGTACCCTGTAAATCTCAAGTCCCCTCAATGACTGCTTTAAAGGTGTACCATTGAGACTAGTCCTAACTCTGTTTCTCTGGCAGAAGAGGACTGCCTCCTTTCTGGGTTCACTTGGTGGAGAATCATGTGTTGGACTGATATGCTTGTGCATATCTGCAGTGCACCAGCTCAAAGTGGAGCAGGGACCACAGACAGTTCTGTTCAGATTATCAGCTATGGGAGGCTCTTGTGGCTTACAAATCAGGCCATAGGCAGCCATGGACTCCAGGAGCTAGAGCTCCAAAATCCAGATTGTACAATGGATATTACTAACTCAGGTCTGGATTCTTCTAGACTACGCTTAGGAAGGGAGATCAGCAGCCTGTTACAGACAGCCTCAGGAGCCAGTGGGGGGAAAGAGAGAGGAAGAGTTTGATCTGCAAAGGGAAGCATAGGTATTTGCACTTACCTCCAGACAATGCACCACCATGAAGCATAAATGTTCCCAGTTACTTTTGTTGAAGTTTATCTTTTTCTCCATCTCCGAAAGGTATTTTTCTAGGTGAAACTTTATGTTGTTGAACCTATGATAAAAAAACAAACAAAATCATTAAATGTGAGCATCCATGTAGCCTGAGTGGCTCAGTGATCAGGCTAAGAGCTAGCTCACACTAACCCATATCTCAGGAGCAGTTTCAAGAGGGAGGACTTGATTGTTGCACTGGTGTCCATGCACTCTTGAAAGGGTGACAGCTCACTTTCTGATTTGCACACTAAAAATGAAGGATGGCATTCATTATTTTTCTTCAGTGTAAATCAGGTCAGGGTCCCAGTGAAGTTAGACTCTTACCCCTTTTTACTGACTGGTGCTCAGGGCTGGATGGCTTGCAAGCCACAAATTGGATCAGCTGAGTGATCACTTTTGGGGATGGTGTTCCTTTGTTTCCCAAGACAAAGGTGGTGACAAACTCCATAAAGAAGGAGTTACATTTTCTCCTGAATTTGTTATGATTTTCAACAGCTTCTCTGTAGGAAGGAATAAAGTCAAGATCTACCATCAAAACTCAGTAAAGCCAAGAAGCAACTTGTCTTTTCTGCTTCTCGGAATGTGACCAGAATACCAGGTATAACTTGACTGTGGAAAAGAAATACACATTTTAAATAGAGAAGGTGATTAACCCCTAGAAAACCCACTAAAGCATTTTTTCTTGAATCCTGAAGACAAACTTTCTTCTTCCCTGTATTCTTCCTCTCCTATCTCCAGTCAAGTTAGCTAGAGAACAAAGACAAATGGATTCTTATGTGTTATGTATGCCTGGATAGACTGCCTGTTCAGATGGAGGTAAAAGGGCTGAAACTGACCCCAGATCACTTCATGTGAATCCTTTCACCACCAAAGGTTTGCTACATATGGTAGATACTGACATTTCCATGGAGCTCACATGTTAATGACACTTGTGTGGCCCCTGCTCTGGTAACTATTCCAGTATTTTATACAAAGTGATAGAGACTGAAACAACAAAACTAGTTCTACTAGTTACAGGATACCTCGTGGCCACTGTAGCTTTGGGTGTGTAATCCTCTGGGAAGTTTTCCTTGCAGATCTTGCACTGCTTGCTTGTCCATTCACAGATGCAATCTGAACAGAAAATGTGGCCACAGGGCAGCTCTGCTGGGTCATTGATTTCCAGCTGACAGCTCTTGCAGTCCTTCACACCTTTCCTGAAAGATGCCACCAAAGGAAGATGCATTTCAGGGCTGATTTTACACCAGTGCCAGACTTGAGGAGTGGGCAGGAGATTCTCACGCCCAACATTTGACCATCCAAAACTGTATGGTAATTTGTAACTAGCCTTACTGGTGAGCAGAATATAAGAGAAACTCCTGCTAGTTTAATAAGGGGGTGGCTCCACCAAGGACCATCTCATCTAAGAGATGTGCCTCATCAAGCTGAGTGAGGCTGGACTGGGGGGTGGGCCTTATCCACAGTCTTACTACGCCTATGAGTAGCTACACTGACTGCACCACATTCAGTACCAGGCTTGTCTCTGTCACCAGCCAGGCACAACACTGCATGGGAAAGACTTTGCTCCATGGTCTTCTGAGCTTGGGCATTCCATGCCCTAGCATTAGTAGCCTCCAGGGGATACCCTTTGGCTGGAGGAGATTCATCCCCATTTAAGTGGTGACAGCCTTACCCCATCCCTTACAAAAACCAGCCTTGACATAAAATGTCCCTAGAACTGGGATTATTTTTTTTGGTGTTGGTTTAATTGTTGTTTGTTTGTTTTGTTTTGTTTGGTTGTTTGTTTGTTTTGTTTTGTTTGTTTGGTTGTTTGTTTTGGTTTTTTTTTTTTGTCTTGGACTTACACAAGATACACATTTTCAGCATTCTCGTTGCATTTCCTCAGCACTTTTGTCACCAATTCAAAAATTTCTGCTGGCTCAAAATTCTGTGCTTCAGTCAGGCGCTGTGGGAAAGAAAGGATGGTGAAAGCTCAATGGCAATACCTTCTTGGCATATGAAAAAAGAACAATAATGGAGGTTAGCATCACAAAACTACATAACAAACCACTAAAATCAAATGAACCCACCAAGCACTTTTCCTTATGTAATGCCAGGGATAACTGGCCTGAAATAAATCTTCTTTTAAGGAAAAATTCCTTTAAACAAAATTCTGATCTGGGGGGGTTTCATGATGTTTCTGAAATCTCAGTGCTTTTTGCACTAGGTGGTGTTTCCACCTTCTTCCCACCCTCTTCCCATTTCCATGCCTTCCCTCAAACCAATATCAGAGGAATCTGTGGAAGATAAGGCTGCTTCAAAACTCTGACAGTCTCTAATGCTATAAATTGTCCAGGAAAGCACTACACTGAGCACATACTTTATAGATGAACATGAACTGCTTCACAAGAAGTCTCAGAAGCTTCTCATCTATTTGTGTCTCATTGTACAGCAGGTGGTCAAAGAACATGTAGAAAATGTTGGTGCAGGTCCACTGGCATCTGGAAAAAACACAGATGTTGAACAAAGCTTCAAGACTTGCCAGAGAAAGCCACAGATGATCTACTCTACTGTTGGCAATGGTGCAATTTTAAGTGGGAGGCTGGCCTACAGACCTCTGAGGTCCTTTCCAACCAAGATTTCTATGACAGGTCCCAGGTACTGAGATGATTTGAGGACACAAGAACTCCTGGGGTAGCTTCGAAGGACTAGACTGAGCAAGGAGTGAAAAATATGGCATAGTCCTGTCTACCTTGCTTGCTGGCGTGTCCCCAGACTAAACTGAGTTATGGAATCATTACTGGGTTTTGTCTATGGAGATATCTACTTTACTACTTGCTGTAAAGTAAGTATCCTGGGCATGATCAAGCAAGCATTCAGTCAGATGTTTAGGAAATCAGATCTTATTGTCAAGGAATGATGGGTGCTTGACCATGACCAAAATATGTAGTTCTTAACACAGCTTTTTGGAGTAATTTTGCCTATGTTTTTGTGATAATCAGAAAACAAAATGAGCAAAGGATTAGGAAGGAGCCAACAGGTTCAGGGATCAAGATTCTTGGACTAAATACTACAGGTTTCCAAGGAAAGGATTGATTAAACGCACTCACAGTGTAGACACGTAACTCATGGAAGAGGTGACATAATGCCCTATATGTTTGCCTGAAGTCTTTCAATTCACCGAAACACTGGATTAGGAACTCCAAGGAAAAAGTGTAGGCTATGAGCAATCCTTCTCCACAGACTACATTTTTAAGCTCCAAGTATTTTAATATTCAAACCTTTTGGTGAGGGCTGGCAGAATCTTTCAGCAAACACATGCTAGCAGTTTGAAGGAAAACAATATTGGCTTGTCTGAAAGAGGACCTGTTACTTGAAAGATGAAAATGAGGCTGGACTTACAACACACTCCTTAGGAGTTCACTTTTCTTCTGGTAAAGATGAATCTGGTGATCACCCATATCAATCCACCCCATCCAGGGCTTAAAGGACTTGACCCTTCTAAGCCATTCTGTAAAGGCCTCAAATGACAGAAGTTTATCTGTGGGCTTCACCTTTTTCAGGATAATGTTCAAGGTGTCGAGAGTGATAAACTGAAATTATATTTAAAAAGAGAGAAGGAAAAAAATTGCTTTTATAGTTGGCATAGCCCCATTGCACCTTGGTGAAAAAAAAAAAGGCTTTGAAGGCTATGATGGGGAATTCTCTGAAAACCTTAGGTTGGTGCACACAGCAAGAAATGCCGTAGTAGGAATTTATTAGGTAGGAAAGTGAGAACTGTACAGAAACCATAATTGTACCATAGTGTAACTCTGTGTTGCACTTGTATCTTGTATACTGTTTGAATACTTGAACCAGGGCACTGGTTTCCCTCCACAGGGAAACTCTGAGCTCTAAGCTTCTAAGCTTGTTGCCTTCAGTCCCCTTGATGTCCAGGAGAGAGAAACAGGTATTTCCAAAGAACAATTCTTCCATTTCACAGAGAGATGTTTAAGGTTGTTGAATGAATTGTTCTTTGGAAAGACTTAGATACTTAGGTGGGATCCAGTTGCTATATTGTAGGTCTCTGCTGTCAGCTGAAATGCCTTTGGATGTCTGAGACATCTATACAGAACTGGCATATAGGGCACACAACCTACAGGAGACAAATGCCCTATGGCAGCAGGAGCTGGAGGCCAATCAGCATCTGAAATGTCAGTAGATGCCTGCTTATGGGCAACTGAACGGCACCTCCCCCTTCAGTCATGAGTCACTCTCCACTGTCTCTGTAGCCCATGTTTTCACTGTCAGATCAGAGAGAGATCAGACAGTAGATCAGACGACCACTGCAGATACAGGCACATCCCTGTAGACATGTAGGCTACAGTATCTGAATCCAGACTTGGACCCTTACCCCAGAAATTAAATTCTATGATCACCACCTAAAAGGTCTGAATGTCTAAGAATGGATGAATGTCATACCCAGGATAACACAAGAAAAAGGATGTATAATAATTTTCTACACAGTGTAGATTCCCTTTAGCTTACCATTTCTGGTGGATCCTTCTCATACATGTTTTGTAGCTCTCTTATTACAGACTCATCAATTTTTACCAACTGAACAAAGAGTTGATACTCCTCTCGTAGGTAGAAATATTCCATATGAAGCCAAATGGGGGAAAAGCTTATCTCCTCCTGCCCCACAGAGGAGCAGAGCTGTTTTGCATTGACTAGGAGAGCTTTTGACAGAACCTGCAGATGAAACAAAAAGTGTTATTTCTGCTCCAAAACAACAGCAGGGCACTGAGGATGTCATTCAGCATTGCTGAAGCAGTCTAGTCGAATTTCTCCATCAAAATTTCCCCCAGTTCTTGGAACCCTAGGTATCCGTAGCCCTATGACTCAAGCCGGTGCCATTTAAAGCTTGTACTCCATGAAACCCCATTTACCTCATAGACAGAAAGATCTTGCCCAGGAAAAGTCATCCTTAGAAAATCATTAGTGTAACACTGCATCATCTCTGGATTACTTCCATCTGGTATCAACACATTCTTGATCAGCTCTTGGAACAATTTAGCTGGTTCTTTCATAGGCACTTTTGGATGACCTAGAGGAAAGGACAGATATCAGGTAATCAGAAAACAGAAGCTGACAGGAAAACAAGAGTGAAAATAAGATATTCTAGGCCAATATGGTTGTGTGGGGAACAGAACTGCTATGGTTGCTCCTACCACAACCTTTGACTACTGTGGGAAACTTTGGAGATCAGCTTCCCTGGGTTAAACAATACCTGCTTGAAAAGTCTGATGTTACCTTTCATATTATAGACTCTCTCCCATAGCTCCTCCAGGTAGGCCTTCAAAACCCAACTGAATGGGAACTGGCAAAACACAGATGTGTTGGGATCTTCAGTCGTTGACAACACAGAAATCTTAGCATCTTGTTTCCTTAAACAAGACAGAATGAAGCAATCATCATGTCATACGCTGTGTGTACAGAACTGAAGCATCACAGAAAAAAATTCTGACTGCCACTGACATATGTTCTGCTTAAAAGCTTAAAAAGCACATAAAGATGGTTTGTAAAAAACTCAGCAGTACTGAAAACAATGCACGAACAGAAGATGTTCCTGCCACTTGGAGCTGAAGGTAGAAAAAAAGACTGCAGCAGAGGAAAGGCAAGTGAGTCAGACAACAACTCTCTTGTCTCTGACAGCAGCTGCTGTTCAGAGTAAGTTAAAATGTGATAGTTGTATACCAAACGCATTTTGTGCTGGGGAGGAAATTCATCTGCTCTGACCTGAAGGAGCTAAGATTCAAGTTTTAAAATTCTGGACTTATTGTTTCAAAGTTTACACTGGGTCAATCACTGTTCCAAGGGTTCCTTACTAATGTTCCTGAGTTGCTGAAGGTTTAAGACAACTGGAAGGTTCTGATTCCAATGTCATGACACAGAGGACTTATCACAGATAAGTTATGAGCTGTGTGAGTTTATCTATCTTAACTTCAGCCTTGTTTTACCATTTCCTTCTCCAGAGGGTGCATTATGAAAGCATGTTCTTTTTCTCCTAATGTACATACTGTATTTTTCCACCAAGTCTCTTACTTGCTGGTATATTTAATTCTCAAGAATGATTCTTCTTTGAACATCTGAAGCCACATTTCTGAGAATGGAGACAGTGGAGAGAGGTGATCCAGGTTATTGTTTGCATCCACCACTGCGAGAATTTGAGCAAATAGATTGGCCACGATGTCTTCTAAATGCATCCAGAGAGCATGCCTAGAAATGATAACATGGCCTGTCAAGTGTTTTCCTCATACCTTACTAATCCTCTATTCATCAGAAACTCACATCTACTCCTGTATACCAGATAGCAATATTCATCCTGGTTGTCATGTCTGAGCCCCATTAAGTATTGTGCTTTACACAACACAGCTCTTTTAACACTCTCGGAAACAGATCGGTTAGAATTTGGAAAGGGTTGCACAGGTAAAATGTGCGAACACTACCTGAATGAAGTGTCTTCAAGGATGAACTCGCTGGAGACAGCTCTGTGGAAAACCCACTCCCTTGGCTCAAGACTTATTTTCTCACGTTCTTGTAGGAGGAGGCAGATTCTCCTTTTCAGCACTCTCATGAAATGACTAGAAACTAATTATAAAACAATGCTTATTGAAACATTTAAATGAGTTTCCATTCAAAGTTTTCAGTCAAAGTAAAGCCAGTCATAGGAAATGACCTCTATAAAAGTTCTTGCTTTTCCTCCACAATAAAATCCAGGGACTTTATATTCTACCCTAATCTCCTCTCTTTATTTCTCTCTTTATATCTAACAAGTTAATTTTGGGACAGCACTTATTAAAGACTCCATTTTTGATTGAGGAAAGAAAATCCCCTTCTCCCTGTCTCAGTCTTTTAAATATTGCATGAATTAGGTTCTTTGGTGTACAAATACTCTGATATTCAAATCGATATGGAGAAATATTTAGTATTGTATGCCAGAAGAATAGTCACAGTGCTGCAGAAAAGCTGACATCCTGTTCTTATCTGTATAGCACTGGTATCAATATAAAATAAAATTGATGGGATTGTTTCCATTTCCATACTGATAAAGCCACAAGCTAAATTCATCCTGCATTGCATGAGGAATGGTGTCACTTTGCAATCAGAAGAAAATGTATTTTCATGAGGGACATTTTATTATAGTCCAAATTTAGTACAGTATTCTGGTTTTGCCATATGACCACAAGGACTTCCCAGACCCACAACATTGTTAAAATGGCGACATAGTCTCTTTTATTTTTTTCAGTCATTAATAAACATCCTAGGCACCTGACAGGAACCTGTTGCTCAAAGAAGAGCAAGTCATGGACCACAGTGAAAAAGTCTTTTCATATGCTGGAAAGAATAATTTCCAAATGCACATGTAAGGATTTTGATATTGGAAAACCAGACCCTTTCCATTTTGCTGTAGCCACAGTTTTCTATCAAGACACCACATCACCTGCACAAATAATTTGTATCAATTCTATGTAGAAATTAGTTGTGTGGCACTGGACTCCAAAATAATCATGGGAGTATAAAGTGACCTCTGCCTCGGATTTTTCTGTCAAGATCTCCATCAAAGGTCACGCAAAAATCTGGATGTTTCAATATAGATTCTGAGAACACACAACATGGGGTGCATGGAAAGCAGAACTGGCTCTGACCAAACCTAGTCCTCTCTCTTTTGGGACCTCCCTCCCTGATGGCCTAGACAGGCACCAGAACAGATCATTAAAACACTCATTTTGTTTCCCCTGTTCCATAGTTTGCAATGTGCATGTGCAAGATGAAGCGATGCACAAATAAAAAACCCCAACCTACTCTAGGCCTTGGTTTGTACTCACATGTGGTTCTACTGTCGTGGAAAAGCAAGTTGTGAATGATCATGATTCTTTCAGTGGCACGCCGACTGTTGTCTGTCTTGTCTTCCAGCTGGATTACAGCTTTCTGGATGCTCTGTTTGATCATAAAATCCATGCTGAGGAGCTGTGAATGGAGAAGACTGGAGCTCAGTATATTGCCTAACACTTTGTTGCAATTCCTACTTGCCCTGACAAAATGGAACCCCAGGCATATATCTATTTTTCCATCCCATCTATAGTAAGTAAGTCCCAACATTGTAGAGAAGTGCTAAAAGCCCTGGCAAAGGAATGAGAAGTAGGGAAGGATTTAATGCTTTGCCAAATTTCACAAAAGCCTTATATGTGTCTACTCTTGCCTTGTGCTGGTCTGTCATAGGATGGGGAGAACTTCACTCACAAAGACCTGCAACTACATTTTCATGTGGCAAATGTACTATCCAAACCAGAGACCAGCATAACTTGCATCCCTATATCCCTATGAAAACCATTGTTTCCTAAACCACCTCCTGTATAATGCCAGGCAGCTGAAATTAGAAAAAAGAAATAAATCATACATTTCCTTCTGGGTAAAGATTGGATTTGGCTGGATCTTCAAGTGCAGCAGATTCCTCTTGAGAACCTGAAATCACAGTAACTTATAAGAATCCGTTGCAAAAAATATAGAAACCTGAAAAATAGATAACTCCATCCAAAGCAAGCATCTGGAGTCTCTCAGCAATCAACAAAAGGTTGAAAAGCTGTCTCTCTCTCAGATTTCAGCCTGGGCTTTGATCCCTCTGGGGTGAATTACCCAGTAACCAGATCTTTGTTTTAATTGGCACCCCAGAGGAAATACAGATGTGTCAGGACAGGAAGTGGAGTTCACCCCAACTGCTCCTGTCTCCCTTTACCCATACATCCTGAAAACAATAGCAGGGATGTATTGAGTTGGCTTTGAACTCATCAAATCAGGAATATTTAGAGGGTTTTTTTGGGCAAGGCTAGCACAAAGACTTGATGGGAATCAAAGAGGGTAAGCGTATGTCCACTGTATGCTAAATGCGACAGCACTTCAGCCAATTTGCTATTGCAACTGAAGAACTGACTTCGGTACCCTGCTACCTTATAGTCACAGCTTTCAGACCAGAAAGAAAAAATAATGCAATGCTGTGAGGACTTCAGAAACAGCAAGTACAGTAAGTCCTGTTGAGACCCAGAGACAATGTCTCCATGGACCACTTGATGTAGCTATACGTAAAGCTGTAGATGGAGTAAATGGGACACAAAGGAAGGGACAGAGCTGTGAAGGTAGTGGGTAAAAAGCAAATGGCAGGTTACCTGTTGGGAGATGCTCATGTAAAGTGGTCATGAAAATCTCAGCAATAGTCATTTTGCTGAGATGGCCTAGGTTGGCTGTAAAGTTGTCTGATGGCATCAGATCATCCAAGTGGACTGACATCCATTCACCTGGGGAAGCAGTAAGCATGACAGAAATAGTAGTGTTGGACTTAACTGCTGTGAACAATTGACCTACTCTTCTTGGTGCACCACACCCATCCAGAAAAATCAACAAACTTTGGCTGCCCTGACCAACCAGCAACCTTGATAAGATATTGAGAGATGGAAGGTTTACTACCTCCTGCTTCTTTTTGCTCTAAATTATTCTGTTGCCCCCTCTCTATTTTCTTAGTGCTAATGGGCACAAATGCCCTAACTGTCATTCTCATCCATTAATTAGGGAAGAAAATGATTCTATAATCCAAAAGATGTTTGCCACCTTCAACATTCTCTTTGAATGGAATTTCTTGTGTTTCAATTTGTGCCCATTGCCTCTTGTCTTGTCATGGGACACCACTGAAGTGTGGCGTCTCCATTTTCTTCATGCCCTCTCATCATATATGTATACATAGCACTACGATCCCACAAGCCTTCTCTTCTCCAGTCTGAACTGTCTCGGATCTCTCAGTCTCATATCAAAGATGCTCCAGTACCTTAATCAGGACCTCAAAGAAGAGCAAGTCATGGACCACAGTGAAAAAGTCTTTTCATATGCTGGAAAGAATAATTTCCAAATGCACATGTAAGGATTTTGATATTGGAAAACCAGACCCTTTCCATTTTGCTGTAGCCACAGTTTTCTATCAAGACACCATATCACCTGCACAAATAATTTGTATCAATTCTATGTAGAAATTAGTTGTGTGGCACTGGACTCCAAAATAATCATGGGAGTATAAAGTGACCTCTGCCTCGGATTTTTCTGTCAAGATCTCCATCAAAGGTCACGCAAAAATCTGGATGTTTCAATATAGATTCTGAGAACACACAACATGGGGTGCATGGAAAGCAGAACTGGCTCTGACCAAACCTAGTCCTCTCTCTTTTGGGACCTCCCTCCCTGATGGCCTAGACAGGCACCAGAACAGATCATTAAAACACTCATTTTGTTTCCCCTGTTCCATGGTTTGCAATGTGCAAGATGAAGCGATGCATAAATAAAAAACCCCAACCTACTCTAGGCCTTGGTTTGTACTCACATGTGGTTCTACTGTCCTTGGCTTTACCAAGGGGAAGTCATGTTTGACCAACCTTATAGCCTTCTATGAGCAAGTAACTAGGTGGATGGATGATGGTAGAGCGGTAGATGTGGTTTTTCTTGATTTCAGTAAGGCATTTGATACTGTCTCCCACAGCATCCTCATAGATAAGCTAAGGAAGTGTGGGCTTGATGATCAGGTAGTGAGGTGGATCAAGAACTGGTTGGAAGGAAGAAGGCAGAGAGTTGTGGTTAATGAGGCAGAATCTAGCTGGAGGTCTGTGGCTAGTGCAGTCCCTCAGGGGTTGGTGCTGGGACCAGTGCTGTTTAATATTTTCATCAACGACCTGGATGAGGGAACTGAATATACCCTCAGCAAGTTTGATGATGATACTAAACTGGGAGGAGTGGCTGACACACCAGAGGGCTGTGTTGCCATTCAGGGAGACCTGGACAGGCTGGAGAGTTGGGTGGGGAGAAACTTGATGAAATTCAACAAGGGCAAGTGTAGAGTCCTGCATCTGGGGAAGAACAACCCCATGTACCAGTACAGGTTGGGGGCTGACCTGCTGGACAGTAGTGAAGGGGAAAGGCACCTGGGGATCCTGGTGGATAGGAGGATGACCATGAGCCAACACTGTGCCCTTGTGGCCAAGAAGGCCAATGGCATCCTAGGATGCATTAGAAAGGGTGTGGTTAGTAGGTCAAGAGAGGTTCTCCTCCCCTTCTACTCTGCCTTGGTGAGGCCGCATCTGGAATATTGTGTCCGGTTCTGGGCCCCACAGTTCAAGAAGGACAGGGAGCTGCTGGAGAGAGTCCAGTGCAGAGCTACAAAGATGATTAAGGGAATGGAACATCTCTCTTATGAGGAGAGGCTGAGGGAGCTGGGACTCTTTAGCTTGGAGAAGACTGAGGGGTGACCTCATCAATATCTACAAATATGTAAAGGGTGAGTGTCAGGATGATGGAGCTAGGTTTTTTTCAGTGATGTCCAGTGATAGGACAAGGGGCAATGGGTGTAAACTGGAGCATAGGAGGTTCCATGTGAACATCAGGAAAAATTTCTTTACTGTGAGAGTGACAGATCACTGGAACAGGTTGCCCAGGGGGGTTGTGGAGTCTCCTATGTTGGAGATATTCAAGGCCCGCCTGGACAAGTTCCTGTGTGATGTACTCTAGGTTACCCTGCTCTTGCAGGGGGGTTGGACTAGATGATCTTTTGAGGTCCCTTCCAACCCTTAGGATTCTGTGATTCTGTGATTCATGGCCCTTTACTGAGCTTGCTCCAATATGTCCATGTCTCTTCGATACTGGGAAGCACAGAAATGAACATCACAGTCCAGGTATGGCCTCACCAGTGCTGAGTACTGAGGAATAATCACCTTCCTTGACCTTCTAATGGTACTCTGCCTAACAAAGGCTATGTTGTCCTTCTTTGCCACAAGGACACATTGCTAGCTTGTGTCAAACTTGATGTCCACCAGGACCACCAGGTCCTTCTCTACAAAGCCTCTTTCCAGCTGTTCAGCTACCAGCCTATACTGGTGCCTGGGGCTATTTCTCAACAAATGCAGGACTTCACACTTCATGAGGTTCCTGTCAACCCATTAGTCCAGCCTGTACAGGTCCCTTTGCAGCAGGACCTTCTGGTGTATTAGCCTCTCCTCCCAGTTTTGTATCATCATCATACTTACTGAAGGTATACTCTGTCCCATCATCTGCGTCATTAATTAAGACGTTAAACAGTACTGGCCCCAGTATTGATCCTTGAGGTAACACCACTAGTGACTGGCCTCCGGCTGGACTTTGTGCTGTTGAGCAAAGGCTCTTAAGTGCAGTGGTTCACCTACTTGTCAGTCTAACTCACTGTCCATTTATCTAGTCCATAATTCACTAGTTTGTCAGTGAGAATGTTATGGGAGATAGAGTCAAAAGCCTTTCTGAAGTCAAGATAAACACCATTCACCATTCTCTCTTCATCCACCAAGCCACTCATCTCATCACAGGATATCAGGTTGGTCGGACTTGATTTGCAATTCATAAATCCATGTTGGCTTACTGTTTTTCATGTGTTTGGAAAGGGTTTCCAGGATTATTTGATGTATCATCTTTCTAGGGATCAGTGCAAAGCTATTTGGTCTATAGCTTCCTCAAATCCTTCTTCTCGCCCTTGCACAACCTCTCCCACCCACTTTCTCTCTGGTCCAAAATATTAAAAAAATTTCAACCTTACCACTGCCAAATGCCAGGTAGCTGCAGCCTCCCAGGACTCGTGGGACTTTAGTGGCCAGCACAACATGTGATGGGCCTGTGCCTGTTGATTTCCTTTTCTCATCTATGATACAGTACCTAGAATCAGGACAGAAAGGCTAAAAAACCCATTATCTCTGTCAGTTCGGCAAAGAGTCTCCCAAAGCCATGCTCTGCCTTTCCAGGGCTCAGGCAGAGCTTTTAGAAAGACTAACAGCTTGAAGCATGGTGGTACTGCAGTGGTGGAAAGAGGAGAGAGAAGCTCAGCTCAGTCCAGTGCAGACCTGCTCTAGCAAGGCCAAGATCCAAGATGGTTCTGGCTACCTCAAGATCCATGCTCATATATCTCTCCTACACCCTCTCCAAGCAATGACTCAGTCACATACCTCATCAAGCTTTTTCACAATAATTTTCCCTTCCTGCTAAATATGGAATCTTTATTTTAATCTGAATTTGTTTTGTTGTATGTATGGGTCTCTACCCAATCATGTTATTTCTGGCAATCATGAGAATGCCAGGAGCATGATCTGCTACAAACACAGACAAATTAGACAACAAAAGCCATGATACAGACCAATGCAGGACTTGCTGGGAAACAGGCCAAAACCCAGCATAGCTTTCCTAGAAACAGAACCAGAAAAGTTCAAGCTTCTCTCTAGAGAAGCACAAATCCACCCAAGACTTCAGCATTTCAGAAGCCAACATACACAGTAGCTGAGATGGTGAAAAAAACATGTGAACAGGAAATGTGAGAGAGTGGCAAAGGTGGTAAGTGGGATCATATTGCAAGAGGATGTGTTTGGCTGGGAGAGGATGTCACTAACATACTTCAAGGGCTGGAGACCAACCTCATATAATGCTATTGTCAATTACTTCAGCCCTCACTGGTGCCCAGAAGGGCTTAAGTCTCCTGAAAGCCCTATCAGTGAAGTCTTATCAGACAGCTCTGAGAGGTATCTTGGGTCTCTAGGATGTCTTAAATGGCACTAGATGTCAATTTAAGTCCTTTGGTTTGATGACTAAAGGGAAAAAAGTAATCTGGTGCTTGCCCTATTTGGAGTAGCTTGTGCTGTGTGAGTCAACCCTGCTGGCAGGTGGTTTTAATGTGGGAAGCATGTGAAACAGTGTCAAAGGCTTGATTAAAGTCCAGGTAGACAACATCCACAGCCTTCCCTCATCCACTAAGCAGGTTGCCTTGTTGTAGAAGATCAGATTGGTCAAGCAGGACCTGCCTTTCACAAACCCATGCTGACTGGGCCTGATCACCTGGTTGTCCTGTACATGCTATGTGATGCACTCAAGGTGATCTGTTTCATATGAATCATGCTGCCAGAATGAAGGCGATGTTCTTTTGGACAAATGAAAGCTGAGATGTTAGGAATGTTTTATCTTAATATCTTAACAGACACGGGCTTGAAGATTTCAGCTACAGAACTTAGGCATGAGCGCACAGACACAGGTATGTGCATAAAGATGTATGAGAACATTTGCAATAACTTCACTGAACAGGTCACTAAAACCAGTGTTATATCCCATGGCTATCTGGCCTCTACATCTTTCTTTTTGCACCTGATGAAAGAAATACAGAAGAAAAGAAGAAATAAGGAAGGATGTTTACTTGGCACAAGCTAGAAGTCTTTTGCTGCTCTGTGGCTCATCAAAGTGAAACTGGATGAGGAGTAGTTTCTCTTCTGATGATTGTTCAAAAAAATCCCTGCAGACAATGAAATGGTCTGTTATTGCTCTATTCATAAAACACCTTTGTTCTTCACTCCCACTGCTCCCCCTCTATAAAATTAACAAACAAGCAGGAAGGAAATCTCTCCTCACCTGAGTTCCTGGCGGAAAGTGTATTCAGTATCAAATTGGCTTAGGAAAAGGCAATGGATTTTATTTTGAAGGTTAAGTTTCTTCCTTAACTCTTCTAAATCTCTCTCATTTAGAAGTCTTGCATGTGTAGAAACCTGCAATGAAAGGGAAACAAATTACAGGTAATTATTTTGTAGTTGCATTACCATCCCTAACGGGTGAGAAAATTGAAGTGATCCCTTATGGAAGTTTTCAAGTGCTTCCTAAAGGCAAGACTCGGAAATGTGCCCACTTATAGGGAAAAAGGGTGGAAGCATTGTTAAGAACCAGAAAAAAAAGTGTTTCTTGTGCTACAAGAGACTCAGAATTGAGCTGCATCTTTAGGAATTACTCAGATGCTGTGAGGCAGTGACTCCAAAGGAATCCTGCTGGGAGGCATGCATGAACACCTTGAGGGCTGGAAGAGCCTTTCCATGCAATGTTATGGGCCTAGCATGAGGGTCTCCCTGTATGATTCTACTGGGCTGACTCTTTCCCAAGGATGGGGGCTCCCAGTACTGTAGATTCTGTTTGGGGATTCGGCTGCTACCTTTTTAGGTGTCTCTATGCAACACAGGTTCCTAAACCTCTGTTACAGTCACTGGAAAACTGATCAGGATGCTTTCTTTGGCATGGACAACAGCTCCTGAAAATAGATGTCAGGAGGCAATAAGCATGATCCAGGACTTCCAGAATGGCCAAAACCAATTAAAGCCCTGGTGGATGCTTGGTGAGATCCCCACAGTACCATCAGTGGTGCTTGTCACTTGTCTGCAGGCAATGAATGATGCCCTGAGCATCTTAGCCTTGAATCTCCAGAACATTCAGAGTTAGGACCTGGCACCTCACTGCCTGTCTGTTAGCAGATCCACCACATCTGGGCCAAGAGGAGAAGCAGAGTCCAACCTTGATGCAGAGGACCGCAAGGCAAAAGCCAGGCCCATATGTGATACAACTGATAGGGCAGGACCCAAAGAGGACATGTAGAAGCCCATCACTATTCAACAGTGGAATTTATCCAGTAGCTTAATGGAGGTTGCATGGTAACCTCCCTCATCTGAAAAATAAAGACCACTCTCACTGCTTTACAGTGAATCACACCTACCTGCAGGCAGAGCCCAGTAGTCCTCTCCTTCCCTGGCTGCTGGTTAAATGCCTCTCCCAAAACACTAACAAGGCTGTTGTGCTTCTGCTTGTGGAAGTACAAGTCTTGTATTTGCTCAGCATCATCCAGAAGGGAGTATTTAAGGCGCAGGATGGAGTCAGGGGTTGCACACTGAACAAGTTTCCTTTTGGCAATAGAGGCCTCTCGCTCTTCATAGGGCAAAAGGGCTCCCCGGGAGCTGTTCTGAGTGCTCTCCAAAGCAACAGCTGCAGAGGTATCACTGCTGAAACCGATGAAGACATCTGGTTCCTTGGGGCTGAGCTTGGTGGACCAAACATTGGAGACCTTGCTGCTGTCAATGGAGACAAACAGCCTGGCCCAGTTCTGCAGCTCCTTCTTCAGTTCTTGCTGCTGCCAGTTCAGAATGGTGTTCATGTCTAAGCAGTGCTTCTCTAGCCGGTTCAGCAGCGGGGTAGCGAATTGGGTGTAGACTACATTCTTTTCCTCTATCACAATGAGTCTGAACTCATCCTTCACACGGCTCTTCACTCTATGAGTGCCAAGACCCAGGTCCACATAGTAATTTCCTCCAAGGCTAATAAAGCACTGGTTGAGAGCATCATAAAGGCTTTCGTAAAGGTTGTGTATATTTAAAAGAACAACAGTCCTGCCTGTCTCCATGCAGACCTTCACTCTGCTGACAGACTGGCATATGTGGGCATAATCTTGGTCCTGTGGAAAACCAGAGCCAAATATAATTTCACAGTTCTCAGTATCTATAAGCTGTGTCATCTGGATGATGTAGAAAGCTGCATAGTTAGTTGTCAGCAGCAGAAGGTATCGAGACATGAGCCCTGCCTGTTTGCTCATATTTTCCCTCAGCAAATGAAGTGTGTGTCTGGTTTCCAAGTGCAGGGAACAATCAAACTCATTGGTGCAGTTTTGCAAGAGCTCAACAGGATTAATATCACTGGAGCCTCCAAAGTTTCTCTGAATGGCCTTTATAATGTTCTCATATTGAGAGATGTTCTTTTCCTGGAAGTAGTGCAGTAACGTCTTGATCAAGCTGTAGAAATCACGGAGCCCAAAGAACTCATTTTTTTGTGCTTTTAGCACATTGCAGTAGAATTCTGCCAGCAAAGGGAACAAATGCTTCATGTTTTTAAAGTGTGTGTGTGCAGCACAAATGCCCTCTGCAGTTTTAACTAGCTCTTCTTTGCTAGGGTCAGTCCGAATTACAAAAAGGCCCCTGTTCATTTTGGCAGGATCTAGGGCCCAGTTTGAAATGCCCAAAAAGCCAACTTTTTGGTAAGGCTCTGGGTTTTCATCATCAACACATCCGCTTTCAAGAAGAGGGTGCAGTGTCTTCAGTGGCATCTCTGGTGAGTCTTCTGCTAGGCCGACTTCATCCAGGACGACAACGGATGCAAACTCATCCAGATTCTTCCCCCTCTGGAACTGTGCACATTGTCGAAAAGTGGAGACGATCCCTTCTGGTTTTGAATGGGGACTGCACTGAAAAGACACCAGCTGGATCTCCTTGCATCTTTTGAACAACTGTCTTTTAGACAGCCTGCCCTGCATGGCATCCACAGCAATGGTTTTAGACAGGGATTTTGAGCTTCCTGGCTTCCCAACCAGAAAGAGTGGAACTCGTAGGTCCATGCATAAAACTATCATGAAGATGTTTTCCCTCAGAGCATCATTGCAGGCTGTTGTCTGAGGAACAGAGACGTTATCAAGAAATACCTCTTGGCAAAACTCAATCTCTTGCTGTAGCAGGGATGCAGGGACAGAAAAGCACTTTGCAACCTCCTCCAGGTAATCTTTGCGATTCTCCAGAGACACATAATAGCAAGCTCCCAATGAAAGCACCAAGGCCCGTTGTTCATCATTTAAGATTGTCTCCTTTTCCTTTTTGTACTTTTTATCAATCATAGGAAATAGCAGGTCTCTGAATTTGTAAAACCAGAGCACAATGATTATGCACCGCTCTATATCCCGGAGACTGGCAATTCTGCATTCATGTTTCTTTTTCCTGAGGAAGTTCTGGGAGGCTGAAATGGCACTGGTAAAGATGTCCAGATTTTCAATATTGATTTTATTCTTCATGGTGGACTTTACAATCTCTCTGATGTACAGGCTCTGTGTCTTTTCATTCAGCTCTCCAAAATCCCAGACAAGAGGCAATAAGCTAGGTGGAAGTGGCTTGACCCGATACACCAGCTGCCGCAATGGAATGTAACCCAGTTTCTCTAGCGTGTCTTCACTCTGGACTCGGTACCCCAAGCCAGGTTTTTCAAGTTTCTGTATAGTTTCTTTGGAGTGCCTTCTGTAAGGGTTGCAAGCAGCTACTACTTTTAAACGGTCAGTGAGTATCTTCTCTCCATTTACACTGCGATCACACAGCACCTCTTTGATTGCAAAGATAGCTTCTGATGTGTTTGCTTCATCAAAAAAGAGTACAGTGTCCACGTTATGCCTTTCTTCATTGTAACGTGCCAGCTCGATTGCCTGCCTAACTTTCTTGTGGATGGTCTTGGAGGTAGTGCCACCATGGACACACACCACCACCATGTTCTGAATGTTCTTGCCTGCCCTTTGCAGGCTGCACATGAACTGCACAAGCTTTGTCTTCCCACAGCCTGTTTCACCCATTATGATTACAGGAATCCCACACTGGAACCGCAGATGAATGGCAAGCATCTTCATGGTGTTGTCCAGTGTCAGCTGATATGACTCATCTGGATCTTGGGTGTAGCTCACACCAAAAACTCTGCAGAGAGCTTCCAGCTGCATTGTTCTCGGCAAGTCTTCAAACTTCTTATTGAAAGGAACACACTGGGTTTTCAAAATCCAGTATAATTTACCTTTGATAACATTCCTTTCCAAAATAGCTTGAGAATAGGCATCAATAGCATTCAAGCTCTTGCTGATGTGAAAACCCAAAAACTCCATGGAGTTATTGTCTGCATGGAAGACTATATAGGGGTGGGACTCTTGTTCCCATTTTCGTCTTAGTCGGTACTGATCCATAATGCTATTTTCCTCATCATCATTTTCTGCACTTGGCACACTTTCATCAGAGGTATCAAGAGAGGGCATGGCAAAGTCCTTGGACATGGTGATCATGAATTTTACCACAAATGTTTTAAAACCTTGGAAATCATCTCCAACTGCTGGGCTACAGAAAACTGATTTCTCACACTTGCTTAGCTGGAAGTTTAGGAAATGAACGAAGTTGCTAAGCTCAGTCCAAGAAGGGTTGTGACAAGAACAGAATTCCAGTAAGATCTCCAGCCACTCTTTCTCTGTCCCTTCAGTCATCTTAGGGGTGAAAAGGAAATGATCAAGATCTTCCTTGTTCTTATATCTACGGAGGTACTGGTAGGACCTTTGGAAAGCTTCACTCCTTAACTTTTCTAGATCAAACTGCTCCTGTTTCATTTCAAAACAACCAGAGCTGGGTTTGTTTAACAACTCAAGTACCCGCATTGGTGATACACATTTCACTGCAGGAAAAAGATCCAGGAACATTTCTTCTGTCTCACTGGACACCTAAAAGAAAGTCAATAAGGAGTGCACAGATTACAGTGAAGACAGTTGCCCAACCTCCTTCATTTATGCATTTGCCTACAGTTCAAGCGATTTTCTTTTTTTTTTTTTTTTTTTAAACCCAAATAGGTCAGGAAGCTGGGAAAATCATATGTAGATCAAATTTGGCTAAGGCTGCATACATGTTCGTGGACATATACTGACATGCCCATAACCTGTAAGGTCCTGGTGCCAAGTGAATGTCCAGTGAAAAGCTAGAATAGAGCAAGCATGATTATTTCCACCCACCAAATAATCTGCCAGACAGGTTTAAGCACAGAGAACTTTCCATCTTCACCTGCTTTCCCTAGTTAGTAAGCCACCATCGCTTTCCCTTCCAAATACTCACCCAGACTCACCTTGTACCTGTGTCAGTCTGCCAAAGCGGGCACCCACAGCCCCGCTTGGAAAGAACCCGTATAGGTTTTATGACCCATACCATGAAGAATCAATCCCTTTCCATTTCTTCTAAGCTGTCTTGTTAACATTGTGTGATACTCCTGGTTCTTGTGCTGGAGCAGATGGTGGATGCTTGATACCTCCTTACCCTCTCCAGGCTACTCAGGATGTTCTAACTCTCCATCACATCCCTAATTTCCTCTTTTAGAGTGTCCTCCCTCATTTGTCATATATGAGACTTCTATCATTTTTTGAACACATGGGATTTCTGTGTTACACTAGGAATGAACTGAAAAGAACTCCAAACCCTGCACAGTGCCTAATATTTCCTTTTGAGAGTAAACACATGCTGGGACTGCTTGTTTCTGTGTAGATGAGCCATCATTCCACTAGGGACATGGACCTTAAATTATGCACAGCTTTAAAAGAGACTTTGGATTTTAGCAGACTGACTGCAGGTGCAGATCTAGTTATGCTAGCATCCTTCATTACTATTCCTCTGACCTGAGCACACCATTCCCAGAACAATACCTCTTGTTTTCTTGTTCTGCTAAAACATTTCCCTTTTGCCAGGTACTCGATTAAGTAAAGATGAGAGGATTTGCACTTCCAGATAGAGCCAGTGGGACTCTGGATGTGTCTTAGGACGCACAGCTCAATCAGCAGCCGGTAGAGACCTGATGACACCTGAAAGGGAAGAAACATTTTAAAACTGGTGAAAGAGATGTCTATCAAAACACACTTCACTACTCACAGCACATAGCAGTACCTGAAGCCAAGCTACAGCTTTTCTCCCATTTTTGTGCAGGATTGCTATTCTAGCACACACTGAGACAGCTGTAACTTAATATGATTGGATACTCGGTGCTCTGCAGCCTTCCAAGGAAAGACTAGGCTGTCCAAATCTACCCTCTGCTTAAGCCAACTCACTACCTTTCTTTAAATAAAGTCCCTTCCAGAGAAGTACCAGACTGGATGTGAGGTGGAGAATGCACTCCTTCCTGTGAATGGGGGCTTCTATGATCATTTGGTTTGAATTCAGTGAATCTCCTCTACCTTACACTCTGATGAATATCACTGTAAGAGAAAGATTGCTTTATAAAATGGGACCCATTTCACACAGATTCCCTACCTTAGGCATGGAACAAGCCAAATGAAAGCACCTGAGCTTCTAAACTGTATGCAGAACTCCTTTTGTTCACTTTAACTTTTAAGCACCTGCTGCTACTACTGTAGGTAAGAATAAGCCAGCACAAGAGGCTGTGCAAATACCCTCCTCTAAAAAGCCTGTGAGGTCTTTGGCACTATGTTTAATGCTAAGACAAAGGCTCTCACCACTGGTGACACATCAATATGGAAGACGGTGGGCTGAGTTTCAGTTGGGAATTCCTCAACAGAGAGTAGCTCCTCCAGAAGGAACTGGAAATCAATCTCTGACTCCATCAGCCTAATAGTTTTGTGAACCACTGGTAAATCACGGAGCTGGACACGGATCTTCTGGAGGATATTGTTCACAAAGAGAGACTTCCCTATGGAAGAGAAGAGACAGCCAATATTCACCTTCAGCGTCAGTCTGCACTTTCACATGCATGTGACTGTGTTTCTCCAGACATCCAAACTCCCTCCAAACTGAGTGGCTGTCTTTCAACAGCCTCTTTAGAACAATACCTGAGACCAGATCCCAGTCACATGAGGGACATCCTCCAAGTCTGTACTCACAGTTTTAGCAATATAGCCCACTGGAAGGCAGAACTCATGCCCCCACTCCAGCCCCACTGAGGTTACCGATATAGACATAGCCAGAAGGCCTGGATCCTGAACAACTTGCCTCAGATGTGACCTAAAAAACCTCAAGATAACTTTACTGTCTGAAGAGACATGTCTTGAACAGTTTCAGAAATGGTAAGAAGCATGAGACATCCTGCTGAATATTGCAAAGGAGCCACAGAACACTTGTTCGACAGAATGGCAGGTAGAGGCAATTTGGGCTAGTCTGTGGTCTTTCAGAGAACATCTGAGCTTATTTAGGCAACTGACTCCCATCCCTATGATCTAGTTTATCCCATGGAGATAGTCTTATTTCTTGTTCTTTCCAGAATCTCACTGCATTATTTATTTTTCTTTAGATTGGACAATTGTAGCTCCCTTGAAGCTCATGTTTTCTAGACTGCATTATCATTCCCCTTTGGACTCTTTCCAAGTGGCCTAAAATCCCTCTTGAAATTCACTACCCAAAGCTAAACACGTGTGGAGAGTGGAGGGCATGCCGTGTTGCATGCCATGTTCTTTTCAAGGCCTCCTGGATTGAGACATGACTCACAGTAGGAGTTCTAATACCTACCCATTCCTGCTTGGTTGGAATATATGAACTTCACGTTCTGCTGATAGGGCTCTTTGAAGGCCTGAGCGACAGGGGCTGTCCCATGAGGCACTTTAAGATGTGTGCTCAGGTATGCCTGGATGTCTGTTTTAGAGTAGCATGGGATAGTAACTTTGTAGGTGTGAAAGGCTGTGAAAACATAAGAATTCTGAGCTTTTGCACTGCAAAAAATAATGAGCCTATAGTCAAGGACTATAGAAGACTGCAGCAAGCGAAAAAAGTGGTACTCCAGTTGCCTGGAAACTTTGTACGCTAATTTATCAGCACCCAGCAAGCAGTAGATTTTCTGGTTTTGAGAATCAGATGAAAGAGCTCTCCTAACTATCAGTTCCACTTCTTCCTCCTCTGTGTTGCGTGTACACACCAGGACCTCATCATATGTTGGTAGAGGTGCTGTCTTAGTGTGTCCATAAACAGAGAGCATGTAGAGTAACATTTCCTCTTCTTTACACATGATGAGAGAAGGTTTCCTGGCTTCAAGGGCTACTGGTAGACTTCTCTTGATACATGTGGTTTCCAGAGTGGCTAATTGCTTCAGTGTTTCACCAAAGACATCCAGGCTGATGTATTTGTCTGACACAAGGCCAGTGTATTTCTTACAGTAAGCATCCCAGAGCAGAGTTACCTTGTCACAGATGGATGGCAAACTCTCAAAGGAGGTGGCCAGTTCATCTTCTGTAAGGGTGCTGAAAGTTGCCTGGTTAACATTTCTGTTCTTTTTAAACTTCCTTGAGTTTTCCAAAAAGGCTTCTCGTTGCTCATCATATAATTTGCTCAGATTCTCAACCTCTTCCTTGTCATCACTTCGATCGAGGGCAAAATCCATGAGCTTCTGCTCTGTAATGTTGGAGTATGGAAGGCAGCTTTGAAGGGCTGCCTTTGCCACTGACGTACTGTAGCCAGATTCAGCCAGGCTTTTGATGAGCTGGGGAAACCGAATGACGTAGTCATGCCAGGTAACAGATTCCTTGTCTCCTGTTAATGTGTTGACAGAGTCAAGTGGAGTCATGAGGGCTTCATCCAGGGCTTTTCTAATATCTTCTTCTTTAATGTCATGCTTTATGACAGAAAGCATATTAAGAATCTGTGGCTCTATTGCACTACTGTGGGCTTTGGCCAGTTGGCTACATAGATAGAAGAGCTGCTGTGCAGTGAACAGATTGAGGTGATAGTAGGTGTCTCTTTGAGTCTCCAGATATTTCTTCCACTCTACCAGGCAGTGCTCCATTGCTTTGCAAAGCCCATTCAGCTCCTCCAGGACGGGTCTGGTGCTCTGAACAAGGATGCCAGCAATTCCAAATTCTGCGTAAACTTTTATCCTGTGTTGGGGATTGCAGTAGATGTCAGCCTTCCAGTCTGTGAAGAGGACATTGCCAACACTGAGAAGTTGCAGATACAACTTTCCAACCATTTGAACTTTTTCCAGGATCTATAACATGCAACAGACAAAACAGGGAAAAGGATTATCCTGTGTTTTCAGCTACTCAATACTTCCTGCATTACATTTTCTTCCACAGATCAGTTAAAACCTGTTAAAAAAAAAAAAAAGGATTTGACTCAATATTTATATACAGCTTTTCAGGATACATTCCTTGCTCTTGACATGCTCTAGAATTGCATGTTTTCCTGGAAGACTTCTATTACTCTTCAAAAATACCGGTTCCATGATAACTAGCATATGTCTGCTGGAGAAAGGAGTCCCATAGAGGAAGGACAACTCCATTGTCACAGGTAGCAAGCAAATTTGACTTTTGAAGATTATGATGAGCTGTATCCCACCCTCAGAATCACCACCTTTTTGATATTTGGCCCTTGTGAGGTTTCTTCATCTCTGACTGAAGCACTGCACTGCCTACAATTGATCAGACAGCAGTTAAGGTAGTTCCTCAGGTATGTAAAAGAACACCTCACTTGAAACACCTTCTGAATAACCAACTTACTGGAAATAAGGAAAAGGCATTTTTGGTATGTGAAGCATCTGGTTTGCAGTGGGTACCCACACTGGAGTGACCTCCATCACACCCCTGAATTTTCCTGTTTCTCTTTAAAGTGGAAGCTTAGATGGCTTGCTTGAGTGAAGATTTCCACATCATTGACATGAAAGTAAGGACAAGACCTTAGACAGCTGGACTTCTACACACTCCATTATCACCTTGCAAGGGTGATTTATAATTTTTGTTACAGGCAAGATCTGGGAGTCTGCTACTTCTGTTCCTGAAAAGTCAGAGCTGAAGATCAAGGATAAGTCTCCATGAAAGAATTTTAGCAAAAAACACCCCAACCCTTACGGACACTGTTTTTCAAGCACACAATGATCTTGCACTTACCTGGTAAGTAACCTGGTAACCTTTCTTACCTCCAGGAAGCGATTTGCCTCCTTTCTGCCCTGCTCAGCTTTTGTGGTGATCAACATAAGCTTGTTCTGGAGCTCTGTGAGCTCAGCCAGGCTGTATTTAGACTTCTGATGTGTCTGAAACACTCCTTCTGTGGTGTCCTTCAGCAGTAGCACTGAAATACAGTCCTCAAGGGCAGCCTGAAAAGCAGGTAAGAGGATCAGACCCACTCTGTCTCTTGTCTGGCTTTCAAGAATAGTAATAGTACCCCCTTGCATATCACAGCCAAACATCAAGTTTTCCTACATCTTAGGATGTGGACCATTCCTTCCCTCTTCTATCGTGCAGGGCTCACTCTTTCAGGGTACACTGCAAGCACCACTCTCCTTGAATAATGGAGTGGCAGTTCTCATTTTAAATCTTTCCCTTCTCTTTTTATACTTTCTCAGTGAGCAGGTGGTTTTTTTTTGTATTAAATACTGCTTCCTCTCCTGCCTGGGGACAAAAAGAAAAAAGCCTGTTTTGCCTCAAAAATGACGAAGACTTAATGGAAAATGTGACATGAGGTTGTGCTGCTTCTGTGCTTCTTTCAAATCTGAGTAGAGATCTATTTGTTATCTGACATAATCCTTTGAAATGGATTTCAAGGATGTTAATTAATTTGGGCAGAAACAACACCCTGAAAAGAATTCTTCAAAATGTGGAGAACAGTTACCTTGAAGTTTTGAGGTGCTGAGATGATAAACATCCCTCTGCTTATGATGTCTCTGGCTTGAGAGATGGAGGAACACTCTACAGAGCCATGAGAGTCATGAACCATCTTTATCCATTCTCTCATATCACAAGAATCTTTCTGTTAAAGAAAAATATCAACACAACAGAATGAAACCTAATAGCCAGGTGGCAGCTCCGTGAGTATGATTTGGTAAGAATGGAGTTTCTTGTGCCTGCCATGCCTGGAGAGACAATGCATAGCTGTTGCACCCACACCTGCATCTATTTTATAGGCTTTGTGAAAGCCAAAGTGGGTGAATAAATATTTTGTGAAGCTGCTGGTCTTTGACAGTCCTTGGCAATTTGCAGGAAGGGTATCAGTTATATGGTACCCTGAGTAGGATGTTATAGTTTCTGTGGAGAGGATTATTCAAGACAGTGCTAGACTAGGTTTTCCGAAAACACATAGCATTGGAATCACTTTCTTCTGTACATGGCACCTAATAGGTCTCCTCCATTTGCTCTCACATAGGCTTGTGAGGTCTTTTAAGGTGCCCCAACTGGTCTTCAGTCCAAAACAGCACAGATTTCTCGTAGGTTTTATGTCATATCTGCTACATCCAGTTGGATGTCTTAACTCCCCTCCATCAATGCACTAAACTTTGCCAGTTCATTCTTCTAGTACGAGTTCAAGTAACTTTGGAACATAGGATTTCCAGACTCACCAACTTTTTGGGCAGATTTTTGTCTTTTACAGTGGCTTCACTGATGAATGACAGGGCTTCAGAGAACTGTTCAAATCCAGATGTGGGTCTCAGGTCAAATATAATGGGTGCTGAAGCAGTCATAGCATCACGGAAGAACTGCAATTTGTCAATATCAATGTCTTTTTCACCTGCAGAAATTGATGCCAGCTCCACAAATACAGGAATTTCTGTTTTGTCTAGGGGGAAAAGATCCAAAAATAAGACACCTGGTTGAGGAGTTTCATGGTCAGCTCAGAGTTGGAGTTCACACAGTTGTTTCATGCAATGCTGTTGTCACAACGTCTGATCCCCCTATTTTGTTTCTCTTACCTGATGACTCTATTACATCCCAGTACAACTCACCTTTTATTATGGTTTTGATCCAGGAGACAAAGCCTTTCCTTGTGCATTCAAGAAGTTCCCTCAGAAATTCCAGCATCTCTTCTGGAAGGTTGCTCAAACTGTTTTTCACCTTCATTAAGTCCTGAGTCATATAATCAAGTCTTTTATTCTTGAATTCCAGCTCTTCCTGAAAAGAAAAAAAAAAAACAATCCAAGACATACTAGTGTGTGTCCCTTGGTAAGAGAAGAAGGAAGGTTAGTTCTGCCTCTGCCCCATCCATGAGCCACTCAGGGCTTTTTCCAAAGTGCCACATTCCCAGAGACTTCTATTCCTCACATCCAATCTGTTTCATAAACTCAGTCTGGTATTTCAGCACAAGTCTCTGCAGAGGCACACAGTCATGATATAAAACTTGTCTGACATCTGCCTTGAAGTCTTGATCACTAAGAGACCTTTCCACAAAATTTACAAGGTCTGTTCCCATTTCAAAATTTCTGGGGAAACTGGTCCAAAACTTGGAAAGCTATTCAAGGTACAAAGAACATCCAGCTGCTCTGTGGGGGCTACATGTGCAGTTTCCCATCATTGCTACCATAATAGAAAGGTTATGACAAGACAACATTTTAGTTTTTGCAGGAATGGGGCAATGAGGCTTGGAGATCTGCAAAAGAAGAACATGTGGAAGCCAAATGAAGAATTGCTGGAGTTTCTGTCTATTCCAAATCACTTGATGCAGAATTTGGTTGCTGACACACAGAGATGCCTGCATCCATTGGTCTCACATAGTTTCCTCAGATGCCCTTAGGCATCTCTAGTGGCACTGGAAGCTCATTTGCAGACAACCAGTTTGATTAAGGATAAACTGCATCACATTCCTGACTCCACTTACGCCATTATAAAGTACCAGGCTAAAAGAGAGATTGCTACAACAGTGAAATTTATATTCCAAAAGGAAAAAAAAGATCATTCACTGTGTCCAATATGATTTAGTTAAAAGTTAAGACAGACAAAAACAAAGGCTCCCCATTCAGACCTGCCAACAAGAAGACACAAGAGCAGTCAGATATCAATGTGTGGCCTACATACGTATTTTGTTATGTCGCTGATAATCTGAAAATTCCCATTAAGATCAAGTGTCTTCCGCAGTTCGTCAATCATCTTGGCAGTGTTCACCACTGTAGACAGGGTCAAGTAGTTTTTAATCTTCCCCACTGCAGCATCTACCCAGGCAGCTTTTCCATCCCCTTTCTCTTCGCTCATCTCCATAATTGTAAACTCCTTTCTGAGTTGACTCTCATCTGCTAATTGTATCTCAAAATGGCTCTGCACAGTTCCAATGGTGATGGATAAGTCTTTGAGGGACAGATAGGTACTCTGAAAGTCATCAATGGCTGGTTTATAAATGTTTTCTTGTACATCTTCTATCAAAATTTTCTCTTCAGGGATTATGGCTTTGATTTGCTTTGCTTTTTCCTTCCATAAAGTCTGAAAATAATTGCTCTCCTCTAAGATATGAATTTTTTTCATCATGTCACTGTACTTAGTAAGGAAGTGGGATTCAGAAGTTTTCTTCTGGCTATTCACATCAAAAACGCTTACAGATATCTGATCCTTAAAATGTCCTCTCTTAGAGATGCATTCGTCCACAGGACTTTTATTCACTAAGAAAGGTGGAAACAATAAAATCAGTACATTTCTCCAGCTAGAAAGACACTTAACCTTTAAGCATGGAAATATTCTGACTCTGACTGCAACACGCAAGTGGTAGGAGTGTATGTGTGTGTGTGTGTGTGTTTATGGCAAAGTTCTTTGGGAAAAACTGAATCCAAGATCAACACCAAAAGAAAGGGTTTGGCAGGCAAAACCCATTGTTCCATGATGAGATACAGAGCCTTCAAACCATGGTACTGTCTGGTACTTCAAACCATGGTACTGTCTGTAGTGTTAGAAAACAACTTGGCCCTGAAGCAGATGTTGAGGAGATCTACACCACCATTTGGCCCACCTCAGCTGCAGAATCAGTTCTATTGATTCTTACACCCAATCCAAGAACTTCAATGCTGGCACATGTATGTTCCACTGTCTACCAGGAAGAATTCACTGGGTGAATCTTCCCAACTAAACACACATTTCTGCTCTCTTCTGTTAGCTCTGTCCTTCTCTTTTCAGGTTCTAGATCTTGTCTGAAATTGTTTGCCCTGACTGAAATGCACTTTGCCCCTACAAACATTTGTCAAATTAAGTAATTCAGCCTTATATATATCTCAGAGAAATTAAATACCTTGCACTGTTTAATCTTTCCCCATGAGACAGATTCTCCCACTATTCTGAATTCCTTCCATATGTGAACCCCTACCAGACTTCCTTTTTTTTTTTCCCCTTTCCTGCTTGCTCTCTCCTCAGAGCTGCTGTTTGCCACTAGATGGTCATGCAGCACCATTTCCTGGAGGATTTGTTACCAGCTCTTTATTTTAGGAATCAAGAACTACATAGGCAATCCCACAATCTCAAATAGAATGGGATGGTACCTCTTATCACATCCTCTATGCTTCTGCATAGACGCAGAAATGAGCGTCTCTGCTCCACCTCCTTCTGCAATTGCTCATATTCCTCTTTTCTGACTCTCAGCACCTCTGCTATACAGCTAAAGACAGAGAGACCTGGGGGAAGAAAGAAAAAAAAACAACAAACCACACACCTATGCCAAGACCTCACATATAAAGGATTTTTGAGAAAATCATCTGGAGAAAGAGGGAAGCTACTGGAAATGTAACAACCGCCATTAAAAAAATGCATGCTTGAGTTTGCACAAAGGCTGTTTCACTTGATCTAAAAGCAGCATTATCAATCAAGAGCCCTTCTGATGTGATCACTGCCGAAGTCCAAAACACTCACATGAACAAAGTTAATTACAGCAGAAGAATTTGAAAGAAATTTCTTCCATGTTTTTGTAAAATTTAGGTGGATTTTGAAACTGGCCGATGACCTTGAAGGTTATTTTGTAACCAGCATAAAGAGCAACAGAAAAACAAACCCTAGACCCACTAAACTGAGCGGTGCAGTTGACATGCCTGAGGGGCAGGATGCCATTCAGAAGGATATGGACAAGCTTCAGAAGTGGGCCCATCTGAACCTCATGAGGTTTAAAAAGGCCAAGTACAAGGTCCTGCACCTTGGTTGGAGCAACCCCTGGTATCAATACAGGGATTGAGAGCAGCCTTGTGGAGGACCTGGCTGTACTGGTGGGTGAAAACCTGGACATGAGCTGGCAACGTGTGCTCACAGCCCAGAAACCCATCATGTTCAGGGCTGCATCAAAAGGAGTGTGACCAGCAGGTTAAGGGAGGTGATTCTGCCCCTCTACTCCACTCTGATGAGACCCCATCTGGAGTACTGCATCCAGCTTTGGAGCCCTGCAGCCAACTCTGGAGCCCTCAGCATGGGAAAGACATGGACATGTTGAAGAGGGTCCAGAGGATTGCCACAGGAATAATCAGAGGCTGGAACACCTCTCCAATGAGGAAAGGCTGAGAGAGTTGGGCTTGTTCAGCCTGGGGAAGAGGAGGCTCTGAGGAGAACTTATTGTGGCCTTTCAATATTTAAAGGAGTCTCATAAGAAAGATGGTGACAGACTTTTTAGCAGGGCCTATTGCCATGGAACAAGGGGTAATGGTTTTAAACTAAAAAAGTAGATTTGGACTAGATATGAGGAATATACTTTTTACAGTGGGGGTGGTGAAACACTAGAATGGGTTGCCCAGAGAGGTTGTAGATGCCCCAGTTCCTGGAAACATTCAAGGTCAGGTTGATGGGGACTCTGAGCAACTTGACCTAGTTGAAGATGCCCCTGCTTATTGCAGGAGGGTTGGACTAGATGACATTTAGAGGTCTCGTCCAATCCAAACCATTCTGTGATTGTGTTTCTAACAACACAAACAGTTCTGTAGATGCATCATAGGAATACTATTTAATTGCTATCCATTGCACAGTAGAAGAATGTTGTTTTCTGTCCATAGTGTTAAAACAGCTTAAAAATTGCCAATATTCAATTTTTCTATTTTTTGCCTTTGTGTTTCTTCTCTTGCAGAGCTTTGTTTGTTTTGTTTGCTTTGTATTTTAGAGACCTTTCCAATATAGATATATTTTCTATTTGCCCTGTTAAACAGGAAAACACACCACATGGAACTACTGTTTTGGGAAATAAATTTGGAAACTTACGACGGAGGCACAGTATATTCTGAAATTCCTCTTGATGCTGGAAGATGATGGACAGCAGGTTGCAGTGAATGTTTCCTGAGAAAACTTGCTGGCCCATAATGTGGAAGAAATTAGAAAAAATGGAGACCAGTTTTTTTGCATTTTTACTGATCTTATTTTGAAGTTTGTCCTCTGTTTCTTCTATTAAAAAAAAAGAAAACTAGTGATAGAGCAGTGCTTTCAAAATAAGTTGTTTCCCCACTGGATTTCATTTTAACATACATCCTCAGGAAGAGTTAGCAGCTTTGGAGACCCTGTCTCTAAGCCGTGAATAGCAAGGGGACCTGTTAAAGCCACTTCTGTGGACAGCACAGATTTGATTGTGTGACTGACAATTAAGTGACTCACACCAGCGTATGGGAAAAAATGTTGCTTTTCTCCCGATCAATGTAAGACAGCATTTTTCATTTGTTTTAGGTACACTAACCCCCAGATGTATCTTTAGAGGACCCTGGCTTAGCTTTGGTTATAATTCTCCTTCCAGACAGAAACAAACCTCTGGGCTGCTTCACAGTTAGCATTTCGGTTTGGTTTTTTGGGGGGGTGGGGGTTGTTTTTCTGGTGGTTTGGTTTGTTTGGTTTTTTTTTCAGAGAGTAATTTTTTTTCTTTAATATTCTTCATTTAAAAAATTCAACACCTCCCACGAATGTGAAACAAAATACCATTTCAACTGGAAAAAAGAAATCGAAACTGCTTCACAGTTTCTGAAATTAAACATCTTTTTCCAGGATATGTGAATATTTTGTCTTCTCCATTTTGTGTTGGCAACAAATTTCGCAGATCTTTGAACAGAGGTGATGAAACCTCATATTCCTTTCTAGCAAAAGAAAGGACTTAATTTCAAACTTCACCCAGTGCTATGGCTGAACTGTTTAGTGTGAGATTTTAGTGACATGCACATCAGCTGTTGCTTGGATACAGAGCCCAAAGCTCACAAGAATCTTAAAAAGGAGGGAAACTTACCAACAGCAGAGATGAGATCATAGATCACAGAAGAGCTGAGCACCTCTTTGAGAAATAGTTCCGCACTATCAGCATGTCTTTCTCCCTTTTTTAAGGAGAAAGGGAAGTTGTTCATCTTGTCTAAGAATATTTTCTCAACAACAGCAGAAAGGACTTTCCCAGCATATGACCTGTCTGTCTTGATGACTTTGGAAACCATTTTTACTAACATAGATTCCTGTAAAGATGAAAAATAAGGACAAGAGTTTTTTCCTCCTAGTTGTAAATAAGTTTTGTAGAACTCTTACCTTTACACTAAATTCGTCTCCCACTCTATTAACCCACCATAGGCCAAATAAGCACAGCTAGCAAAGTGGGTCAGCTCAGTGTGGCAGGAGGTGGAAACTCCCAGCTTGCAAGAAGTGATGGTGGCATTCAGACAGAAGCTGTGTACCTCACTTTTAGGTAAGTGTTTAATCCTTTGAATGACACAGTCCGTGAAGCAGATCTCGAGACCTGTATTCCAATACTTGTCCTTCTCTATGAATTCTGAGTAGAAGTCCAGAAGTTCTCTGCCATTTACCTGCAGGAAGGAAATGCTTAAGCTGCAATTGCTTTCTGGAGCCTTGCCAAATTATCATTAATTTCTCATAGCAGTAGGGGAGGAGTTATGCTCCTCTACATCAGCAAGGAGCTGGCTGCTGATGGAGCCATCATCCAAACACCGACTGGGACAAAACAGCATCCTGGGGTCAGGAGAAATCTGAGCATCAACTCACCTGCCTGGAGTTAAGTAACCATTACTTACTTTCTCCAGCCACCTTTCAACCATGTTGTGTATCAGGCTTTGCCATTTCTTGGTCCATTTCGCACAGAGGATGTTGAGCAAGGACAGCTCGTGCCACACCTGTGGCAGAAAAGCAAAGCTAGTGAACTGGGCCTCAGAGTATTGACAGACCTTCTAGGGTGGGAGGTTATTCCTTATGTGGGTTCTTGTTACTCACATCGATGTTTTCAAAGAACCGTGTATTTTTCATGGGTGGCCAGGGCAAGGATTTCTCCAGCCACTCTGTCATATAACCTTCAAACTGATGCCATCTTTCTGAGATAAAATGCTGAAATTCCTTGGGAAATAATAAAAAGGAGGCAATTGGCAAGGAAAACCAGATTTTCACTCTGGCTTTTGATACTTAACTGCTGTGTAGAGAGTGAAAATAAAGGCCTTCCCCACCACTATCAAGGGCCTCTGAGAAGAGAAATGGCTGGCACACTCTAAGACACTGCCAGCTGTGTTTGCAGCTCTCTGTCCATACAAAGCCTCCTCACCTGTCCCGGCACAAATTCTGACAAGGTTAGAATAAGTAACTGAGAAAGGTAGCTACATGGTCTGCTGTGACTCCTATAGCTGGCCATGTCTGAACGAAGCAAACTTGAACTCCTGGCCCTTCTCAGCTAAAAAGACATGGGTATATGTCTTTATGAAAGCTGTGGGTGTTATTTTTACCTGATTTGCTTGCAACACCTCTGATTCTGCATCAAACACCTGAAGTATCCGTAGCAGTGACATTATCGAGCTAAATGGCACTGCATAACAGTGTTTTAAGGAAAATGAAAGCAATGCATATGTTAAATTCAGACAGAATATGGCATCCTCCTCATCTGTGGGCTTCGTCGGCTGCTCAGTACCCTGCTTGGTACCCTCTGATTGGTGCCTGTGGACACAGAAAAACACTGTACACCTCATGTGCTAATTATAACAATGGCATTTAAAAAACAGTCAACACAATCTTGAGCTTAAGTATCCTTCATTTGCTGAAAAACACTATGCAGTGTAAGCCAACCAGAGCCACTTAAACGTCTGAATTTGTAGCTGAACCCCACAACATGAGATGGAGGTAGATTGTCTGTCAGGACAGATTCCCCTGTGGATGCATTCATCCTTCATCAGCACCAGAAGGGTTTAAAAGATTGACGTACATCTAACAAAGAAAATGACTACAACCTCCCTTATTCAGCTCAAACACAAATCTAGCCATTCTTTCCCACCTCCTCCACAGAGTTGTCCTAGTATCTATCCTCTCAGAAGGTCAGTACTTACAAGTCCTTGAACCAGGATGTCATCCTTTCAGCAATATTGTTCAAAAGGCCGTTCAAATCCTTTTCCTGAATAGAGGGTAAAAACATACACTGAAAACAACTGTGAAAACATATCAATTCCCAGAGCTGAGGTAGTCCCCTACGAAAACTGACAAATGTGAAACCTTCAGAGATTTTTTTTCTGCCAGTGCTTGAATTAAAAAAAAAAACCCTCAGCACTTCAGATGGAAAGGCAGATCTAGCTCCTGTTAAAAAAATAATTTCAAATCCCACAGAAACCAGCTGTCTCCAAGATCTCTGGAGTTCAGAGGATGGTGTGAGAGGTCTTAGCTCAGATTTTTTAAAGTACAAATCAGTGTATTGTGTATAATCCTATAATATACACCAAGAAGTAGATTTTAAGTGGTATTCCTCTTCAGAGCCTCAGAGTCTATTACAACAGTGTAGGTGAAACATAAGTGAGAATGACACAAAGTATGTTCCCATCCCTGGCAGTGTTCAAGACCATGTTGGACAAGGCCTTGGGTGACATGATTTAGTGTGAGGTGTCCCTGCCCATGGCAGGGGGGTTGGAACTAGATGATCTTAAGGTCCTTTCCAACCCTAACTATTCTATGATTCTATAAACAAGTCAAATTTTGATTAAAAAATAATCACTCTTTCAAAAATGCAAGCTAGAACTTTAACTTCTTTCATCTTTTCCCAATTGTTTGATCCCCACAGTGTTCATTTTGGCTACTGCATTTGAGGACAGGATGCTCAAATATTCTGATTAAAATTCATTTGATACAGCATTTGTTAGCAATTTTCCAACCAGGCCACAAAAAAAAAAAAAAAGAGATTCCTTTGCTCTTTCTCTTTTGCCACTTCTCTCAAAAGATGGGTATTGAGCTCTCACTCCAGGTTCCTAGGATTCAGCCTCTTTGGATTTGTTGAAAATTTCTTCAGGAACCAGGAAGACTCTGGCTTACCTGTATAAAATTGCTGAACTTTTCATGACCTAAAGAAAAAACACTAACAATAAGTTGATCTATTACTGTGTGTGTTGTTTGATCACCTTACATGCACTTGGGCTGGTTCAAGGGCGATTTTTATGATGCGATTGTACACAGTGTCCAGGAGGACCACAGGTGGAAGCTTGATTTGGAGCAGGGACTCTGTGGTGAAATTCTTCAGGGCCAGCATCTCCAGGACCGTCTTTGCCAATGGAGAGCAGCTTTCAATGAATGACTTGTGAATCTTTATCATCTCCAGGACTTTCCTAGGAAAATGGACCATTAACAGCAGACGCCCTTTGGAGCATCAGGATGTACTTTGTGCAATCTTACATGCTCCTGTGGCTGGCAAATATGGCACTGGACTTAAAGAAGAAGTAACTGAACACCTGGGGTTTTATAGCAAGTAAATTTACACAATAAGACCCTTTCTTTTTTTTTTTTTTTCCTTTTGAGCCCTTTAAAGAATAAATTCTGTGTTTGAGAATTTCAGTCCATAAGACACTATCTTGTGTGAGTGCACATATATGCTTTTACTCCCTGCCCAATTTGCCTGATGTGAGCCCACCTTCCTCCCTGTGAGACAATGCCCAAATGAGGATCTAGGGGTAATTTCCTCCCTAAGACCACTCCCAACAGGCTATCTGCAGTGAGACTGCACAGTCTTCAGCTCAGTCTTTCCCTTCCTCCAATTTGCCTTCAAACACCCTCCCCTTCTTTTAGGGCAGAAGTAGGATGTAGGTGAACGGCAATGACTTGCATCCCAGGGAAGAAACACAAAGTTTCTGGTGTTTGGAAGTCCACAAGCAAAAGCACTGCAAAAATTATTCTAACAGTACAACAGCTTATTTCCCTGACCCAGCCTTGATGTTGTAACCCTTTCAAACCTACTTCTGTTTCTTTTCATCATCTCTCAGCTGCAACAAGCGTTGTGAAGGAACGGTTTGTATTGAAAAAGGACCCTCCATCTTCTCTGTAATTGCATACAGTAATGGAATCAGCCAAATGCACAAGACGTCATCTTCATTATCTAAGCAGATTTTCTTCAGAGCTGAAATGTAATCGCTGAAAAGAAAGAGAACCACCAAAAATCTCCATCACTGGTCAGATCTCCCATAACCACCCTCCTAAGATGGCAATGGGAGCTGTGAACTTGCACCTCAACCCAATGGCATTCATCTTGCCAACATGTAGATGCATGAAGGTGTGTGAGAGCAAGCAAGAGCTTAGTTCTAGAGACCTTATCAGCAGACATTCATGTACAACAAATGAATCCCAAACCAGCTTTCCCAAAACAGTCTTCCTCCGTAAGTGTTACGCCGCAAAGGAAAATCAAAAGAAAAATAACGTAGACGGTATACCAGCATGACAAAATACAGTATAATCTGACTTTGTGGCCTAATACATCCGCTTTTGTAGGGCTAAATTCAGCTGTCTTCATAAAAATGTCTAATTCTCTTTGAGATGTCTGGGACATCCAAGACAGACCTCCAAGGTTTTCAGATATGAACCAGAACTCTGGGGAGATGTTAATCCTTTAAAATTGGTCAGGAGGTTTGGTAAGATAGCACATGGCATCTAAAATGACACTGATGACCAGTTGAATCTTTGATTATAACAGACAACCAGACACCTACAGATGTGCATATATTTAAGGTTCAGAATCTCAAGCCAATCCCTGCCAAAAATAGGACCTGTGGCTCTCCTTCTATCGGAGACCTGTCAGAGGGGACAGGCTGCAGAGGTTATGGCAGCCAGTGGCATAAACACAGGTAGGAAGCATTGAAGTGAAGCGGAAAGGGATCTGGAGGACCACATTCTACCTCCATTTTCACATAATTGCTCCACAGAGAAAATGGCCCAATGAATGCAATGACTACAGAAGGATCTTTAACTCAAGTAAGATGACACTTTTAATTACCTCCTTCCTCTCAGATGCTGGAATTTGTCTTGAAATGGGCCAATGTCCTGGAAGAGTTTTTCAGCCTTGACGATTACCTCTTTGCTTAGTTGAATGTTATAACAAAATGAGGTGTGTAAGGCAAAAAGCAGCCCATTATCTTTCTGCTCCTCTGTCTCCAGGTGTCCAACGATCTTGTCCATGAACTTTATCATGTTAGTTTTTAACTGAACAATGAAAGTAAAGAAGGGGAGTTTCACTAAGACAATACAATCTTACTTGAGGAGCTGGGAAGGGTTCAGGAAGGAGGATGGAAGATGGAAGTTGCTTACTTGGAGGCAAAAGCCTTGCAGTTACACCACTTACTTAAAGACAGGTTCCTGTCTTTGCAACAGCTAGCAAATATTTTAGCTTCCATTGTATCTCACTGCCCTGGCACTACTCCAGGGAGAATGTTTTCCTGGCTGTCAGAAATTTACCAAGCAGTCCTTATCTGCTGAATACTCACTGGCATCAGGACCCTGCTAGCCACCATTCTAGAATGCTCAAGCCCTACCACAGGTGAAGTACAGGCAAACAGATCTTCAGTCTCCCAGCTGAGCTGGGAAATCAAAGGGAATCAAAAGGAATAGTGGAGATTCTCCCAGAGACGTAGCTTACTATAGGAGTATGACTCCATGAAACCCAAAGGACAGGTAAACAACTTCTACCTAAACAGAGATGCAGCACCCATCACTCAATTCCTCCCATTGGGATTTGCCTACAGATCACCTGCAACACATTGCTTTGCATCCTGTGTAACCCAGGTTTACTTCAGGCTTTCCACTTTATGTGACCTTTTAGGACACCCTCACAATGTAAGACAGCATCCCCACCTAACTGTTTGTAGCCTAGGTACTTAGCCCTTTTCCGGGTATACCCTAATGCCTCTCTCTGAGTCAAGCCCCAGATGATGCCAGGTGAATGTGGCACCTCAGCTCAAATAGGACTTCCATTAAACAATGCTGGTGGTTTGAGCTGGGCCAACAACTAAATACTCACCAGGCTTCTCACTTTGCCTTTTCTCTTGTGGTTCAGGATGAAAACAGAAAGAGGGTGAGAAGATTCATGAACTGAGATGATGATGGTTAAATAGGGAAAGCGAAAGCTGTCCATGTAAACAAAGCAAAAAAGAAGAATTCATACACTACTACTTATTGGCAGGCAGATGTCCAGCCCCTTCCTGGGTGGCTGGGCCTCAGCATGTGTAACACTTGCTTGGAGAGACAAATGCCATAACTGCGAACAACCCTCCTTCCTGCTCATTTGTCTGAGCTATAATTGCAGAGGACAACATCGTACGGTATGGAATACTCCTTTGGTCGCTTTGGATCAGCTGTCTTGGCTATGTTCCCTCCCAACCTCTTGTCTACCACCAGCATACTCACTGTGGGGAGCAGTGGGAGAGAGCAAGCGTTGATGGTATACAAGGACTGTTCAGCAATAGCCAAAACATTCATGTTATCAACACTGTTTCAGCCACAAATGCAAGACACAGCACCATATGCTATGAAGAACATTAACTCAGTCCAAGCCAGACCTGGTACCATCTCAGACAGTATCCATGCTGGGATGGGGGTGGACATCAGTGCTCTCCTGTAGCCATGGAGATCTTGCCTTTTTACTGCAACTGCTCACTTCTATGAGCAATGAGAATATTGATTTCCACCTTTCTTCCAAGACCCCTACTCAATCCGTGTAAAGAGATGGATGTGTCCAGGGCAAAAATCCATCTTTCCACCTTAGGATAAGACAAACATCCTTTCTTTTGTCCCTTGCAGATAATAAAATTTGGTCCCTCTGCTGGTAATAAAAGGAGCTGGGGAGGGGGTCTTGCTCAGGCAAGCCTGTTCACTCTGGATGTAGTACTCAGCTCAAGAAAGCAAACACCCAAAAGAATCAATTTTAGCCCAGAGAGGATCCATCACTGCAGTTGGTAAGGACTGGTAAGCCATTCCTCTGACTAAAAATCAGCGCCTACTGAATGGCTGACTCTCTAATCTTTCTAACTCTGTACTTCTCAGCACCTACATCAGGAGCTAAGCATGTATGCACCCAGTTATTTTCCAGTATGCCAATTTTATTTTAAGTGTCTGCAACCTTAAACTGCATCCTGACTTTGGTGTATACCCCTGAGAAATAAGTCAATGGCAATTTAATTTCAGACTTTAAAATGAGGCATTGAAGCCAGAACATAATTGAGTGTGAAATTCTTCTTTTTTCAATGCAAGATTCTCAAAACCAGAGTAATCTTTCCATGACCCAGCCTCAAAGCTAGTTCTACAAATGACACATTTCAGGTCTGATTCCAATAGACACCCTTGAACCTCATCAGGCTTTGGGTCCAACCCAGAAACCAGAAAAAGCAACGAAAATAAGGTCCAGCTTTTTGATGTTTTCTGGCTGTGGTTCACAACCCTACATGGAATTAGACATAGCTGCAGAAATATCTCTTCAGGGGTCTGTCTACCTGGTTGCTGCTAGCTACTTTAGGTTGGTGTATACTTACTTGGTGATCTTCAAGATCAGTTGGAGAATAGGTTTTGCCATTTGCAGCATCCCCAAGATAAATTTTGAAGCTCTCCGTGTAGATCTTCAGTTTCCTTTCTAAATTGTTAAAGCTCTTCTTGAGCTTGATAGTCTTGGAGAATTCATCTGTGAGGTATTCTATGATACCACAGTTGACTGTGTTTTGGGGCATTTTTTTTGGAGACTGCAATTTGAACAATTCAAGGATATTTGTTTTTTTTTCATTAAAATAGCACTTCATGTTTTCAAAAATAGTCCATGTTCCTGGGGAGGAATCAGGGATTTGTTAATGAACCTTCAAACCTATAATGACGAGTCTTAGGCTGGCCCTGAGCTAACAATACCAACTGCTTTGTATGAATGCCAAGCCCAGCTGAGTCATAACTGAGCCTTTAATGCACAAAACTCACCATGCGTATTTAAATTCAGCCCTAGGTACCTCACCTGCACTTTAGAAGGGACTGGTATGCATAGCCCATAGCTGATACAATTACCCCAACAATAGGAGTCTACTACTTTTTGAGACATCCTGGCATATTCAGATCATCTATACAGGGTCACAGATCTGACACTGGCTCATCAGCTCACCTGCACCCTTCTGGAATGGCAACTAAAGGCCTGATGGCAGATACAAAAATGATTCAAGGCTTCATTACACACCCTCTCTTGCCTCAAAATGAGAAGACTGAGTTTATTCCGGGAAAAAGCAAAATAACTTGAACACTCCTTCCAAAATAGTTTGTTATATAAAGAATTTGCTTGTGATAAATAAATAGTCCATAAAACTACATGTAAAAAAATCCCCACAACAGCAATGTTTCTGTTGCAGAAAGCAGGTGCTGCCCCACTGTGAAGCAAAACAAGGGAGTTTGTGTTCATCTGCTGTGCGCAAGGGTTTGTCAGTCATACTTCATGCCAGTTGAGTAAAGTAAAATACATACCACTTGCTTTGATCTCTTCCTTGGGAATGTTCAAGACTCGATGTAGCTGACCTGTATTCTTGGAGTCCATTCCACAAATATACTCTAAATCACATGATCTTTCATGGTCAGTTGAGAGCATACTTTTTAAGATAGCATATTTATAAAAAATTGTTTCTCCCTGTACATGGGAAATGGGGATTGTTGCTTGACCCTGTAAATACTTTTTTCTAGAACAGAATAAAGAAGAAGAATTAGTCACTACAGCATAAGAAGCTTCCTTCTTGTTCAACTCCAGAAGGACTTCAGCTGTACAAATTGGTTCATGCAGCAAGAATGAGCAATCAACATTCACATTCAAAATGCAGAGTTCAGCAAAATGCTTCAGGATTTTAGAATGGCAGAAAATACTTGATAATCTGACCTCAGCTTTAAGGTTTATCAGACAGGAGAGAAATAAAAATAACTGGTGGCAAGTCTTGACGTGAACAACTCTGGTCCTAGCCAAAGTTGCAGCTGCCTTGTAAAAAGAATGGGAAATACATCTAGATATTCCTGATGAGTGCTGCAACTGTACCAGAACTGAGGTGATTGTTCACTGCGTTTTCCCCCATGCAAGTCATCTGGTCACATTCGGGAAGCTTCATAATGTTTTAGACCTCTGTGAGAATCTGACAGATCTGATGCAAGACCTACAGAAGTTAGACTTAACACTGCAACTCATTTCTACAGATACCTACATGTAGATGTCTTTGTCTGGAGCTGAAGCCCAGGCTGGGATCCTAAAGTTTAGCAAGCTATATGCTTTCCAAAAATTTTACATCAGAATACATTTATATATGATTTTTACCTTTCTTTTAGAACAGCAAATTCCTGGTATTGTCCAGGTTTCTTGTAAAAAGCAACACAGATCTTGGATGACTCTTTAGGAAACTTGAATTTTTTTGACATCACAACAACAAACTCTAGGGTTATTGTTGGTTCCGTCTTAAGTATTTTATCAGACAGGTATGGGTTCTCCAGGCAGCTATTGGAAGGGAAAGAAATACTGTGAGGCCTACATCAAGACACCTTCCACCAGTACGTTGCCATCTTCACCTGATTCACTTCAGGGCTCCAGGGCAGAATTCAGACACTCACATGCATTTCTCCAAAACTCTGGCTGCAGCTCCTGGAAAAGAAGGATCTTCTGCATCATTTCTTCCAGTCCTGTACAAATATCCTGGTTACCATAAAGCATTTAGACTGGTCCCAGCTGCCTAGATGCAAGTATCAAGCTGCTGTGTGAATAACTCAGACACAGATGGCATGCTATAGACCAAGCAACATTGGAAAGAGACCAACTCCTGTCTTCGAAGGCCTCTACTTGTGTCCATCTCTATCTGCTGGTGGAGGAAGGACTTTAAGGGTGGAGTAGCCTTACAGTAGTAAAGCTATACCTCCTACCAAAGATAGCTCTTTTCCCTGCAAGCTCCCAGATCTCAAGCTCCTTGAGGTCTGATGGGAAATCCCACAGCACTGAAATCCACATCAACAAACCTGCCACTGGGTCCTAGGTTTTCTTTGCTTTCACCATCACCTGCAAATGAGGAGAATGCTTGGATTAACATCAGCAGAAGATGCACTAAGACAAGAAAAACTTGCAAACTGGGACTGGGAGAGAAGCTCTTGAAATTAAAATCCTCATAGCTTGAGTACAGACCTCTGGGTCTTTGAACCAAGAATCCCAGACCACCTGTTGTGTGACCTCCCATCTAGCCAAGCTCCACCATTGCTTGGTACAGCTTTTTGGGGATAGGAAAATGGAGCAATCTGTGCTGCTGGAGGTAAGGGTGGGGCTTATCCTTACCCTTAGTGGTTAGCATACCCTACATTGGTGGAGTTACGGGTGGGGCAATAGGTGGAACACTGACATACAATTACACTGAATGATCAACTTTTAGGCTTCTCTTACCAGTTGTCTTTGTCCTCCATGAGCAGTTCAGAAAAGTACCTCTAGGCACTCAATCAGTTTACATGTGGCATTGCCAGGAGCCTCTGACTCTCAGCCTAGCCCTGCATACTCAGACCTGATCTTCACAATAGTCAGCATCATATTTGCATTAGAGCAGAGATGGGAATGCTAAAATATGCTCATCAGTTACCTCTTCTGTTAGAGATTCTTTGCTCCACTGGCTCCTCTCTCCCCTGGGGATCCAGGATCTTTTTTTTGGAAAAATAAAGGTTTAAAGTTAAAACCAAAGAAACTCATAGCAATGATTCAAACTACACAGGGCCAGGGAGGGTTCAGAGCTGAAGAAGCCATTCAGCCTTTCTTCCAACATATTTTTCCATGGCTTCTCATTTGCACACAGGAAATTACGAATGCAAAGAGCAGAGCTGCATCTCAGCACAACTGCAAGTGAACGCAGGGCATCACCTTGCAACTTCCATGCGAGTAACCCACTATATCCAAAAGAACAATGCTATCCTGCATGCTATAAGGGTGGAAAATACAGCCTTCATCAATTGTCTCTGGGGGTCCCCAAGGAGTTTAGTTATGACTAAGTTTGCTCTTTGATAGGCACCATGTGATTCCTGCTCAGAAAGCATTCTGGCTTCCTTGAATACTGGGGTTCCTGGGTTTCTGATAGTCCCACTTGATTGGAACCAGCGCTCATGATAACACTCCCTCTCCAGTGACACAGCAGACTGCTGCTGGTATGCTGGGACTTGCTGAGCATGGGTGTCCTCCTGGGGTGGGACTGCTGTGCCATGGAAAGGAGAAGCATATGTGCACCAATGGCCATAATTAGAGTTTCCCTGTTACGTGCTGCATCAGCCCATGTCTCTATCAATGATGGCTTTTGGAGGAACCCTGGCATTTGAGACCATTTCACAGCAAAGCTGTGGCCAGGCAAATGAAGTAATTCCTACGGGAGCAGGAAAAAAGAGAGATAAACAGTGTACAGCCTAATATGGTTTACCTTAAAGTAAGGGTACTGACAACACAGAAATCCAAGGCTCTTAGGCTGTTTTAGCCCAGTCCAGTAATGCCCAAATGTTCTTAAGAAATTTGAAGGCAGTTTTTACCCTGCTCCTCGACTGTAATACAGCAAACAGCACAGTTTGTTGGACCAGAAATTTTATAGATTGGTAGTGCGGTTGATCAGCAGCAGAAGGAAGACAAATTCAGTGGGAAACCCTGAATTTTCAAGCAAAGATTTTACTTTTTATGTGAAATAAAGTGAATGGTCTTTTAGCATAAATTGGCCTTCTCCAAACTGATTTCTTACACAGGAAAGAAACAGGTCATACCTCAACTTTCACATATTTGTTTATTTGGATGAAGAAAAAGAAGCAATACATCTCATTTGCCATGATGATGGCGATAAAGAAGACAAAGTAAAAGAAAAAGTTCCCAGAACTATCCTGAAGCAGCAAAATGACTGGATATTGAGTGGACATAGCCAGATGGAATCTCTTCAGAATAAAAGCTGCACTGTGGTATTGTCAGAGCCACCCTTTTATTTCTGCCTCTTCCATACAGAAACATTCCCACACCGCAGTGATGGGGCATAGCATCCCTTCGGTATCACCAGCTTGCAAGAGCAAGCAAGGACCACACACAGGCTTCTTAATGGGCTTTCTGAGTGACAGAAGAGGCAAATCTCTTCTTTGCCATTAAATATCAGTTTAAGGATTTCAATCACCAGTAATAGGGAAGCACCCTAGGTAAAGCCTGATTTTCCCTCTGTGTGACTTCTGTCACAAGAGTTTTGCCCTGCATATGTTCATTTGGCATCAGTGATAATAAACTAAAAACTCTCACCTCGTTATCTCTGGCAGAGGTGTCATCTCCAGACTTGGAGGATGATTTCTGTCCAGCATGGTAAACTTCCACGAGTTTTGCACTTATCACATGTGCCTGGAGTTTCTCTTCCTCTACAGCATTTGGAGCTGAGAACAAACAGAGATCAAGGTTTTCACCTGATCCCAAAAGGGATGCTCATGCTCCCCTTTGTGATCCGAAGCTACCAGCTGGCCAGCAGAGAGACACAGGGGAAGCCTTTGGGCTTATCACACTGATTGCAGGGAGCTGCAGACTAACTTGTCAGAGAACTGGGTAGAGCAAAGGTCACACAAGAGCAGTCTTAACCAGGCCATGTTTTAGGGGTGCTCCTCTGAAAGGAAAAATCCCAGGGCTAGGATCTTCTGTCTCACAGGCTCACTTCTTAGCAGCCAGGAAGGAAATTGATGATGCTGTAACATGGGCAGTGAGGGGAGCTGCAGCAAGGTAATATATAGGAGGGAGCAGAAATGCCCTTCTGCCCCTCAAGAATGGATAGGCCTTCTTTTTTGCCTGGGTTTTCCTAGCCATTTCTGCTTCATCAAGGTATTCCTCATTCACACTGTACCTGAATTTGTGGACAGTACATTTTTCCTTACTTGTAACGGAAGAAGTTGCTAGCTTAGAGCTGAGGAGTGGGTTGGTGGCTGTTTGCATTGCCTCCACCCACAATATTTCCTGTTACCTCCTTTACCATGTAAAAGTTTGCTGCTGCCTTCCTGGACAGATGGAGGCACAGGATGCGATTTCTCTCTGCTTTCACCCTCTCTGTCGCCCTCTGCACCTTCCATCGTGGCAGCTCAGACGTGGGCAGCCAAGAAGAAAACTTCAGCAGCTCAACTTGCAGCTTCAAAGTTAACAGTCTAAAGGAAAGGTTAAAAGATTGCAGTGATCAAAAGATTGAGAAGCCCAGGTCTGGTAATTTTACCTTCTTGTACACCCTCCTCCTCCACCCCCCTCTCCCCACACAATGAGGAGGAGAACTTCATTTAGGGGTTACAACCTCACTGGTTTCAAACCCCTCTGCAAGCCATGGAGGGATTTGCCAGCACCTCCGCTAATGCCCAGGACAGTGGAAAATTAAGGTGGCTTTCATACCTTTTCCTGGAAATGTGACTTCATGGGCGGAGTTCTACAGACTGGGACTTTCCAAATGAGTGCAGTTCCAGGCACTCCAGCTCTGCTTTGTGAAAGTGAAAGGAAAAGGGGTGTAGTTTCTGTTCTGGGATCTCTCTCTGTTCATTGCTTCATTATGGTGACCCCTTCCTCCTCCCTCATACTGCTCTCAGCCGTATTTGTGTGTTGCTCATCTCTCTCACTCTGCAGTGTGGTCTTTAAAAGTTTTAAACCTGCTCAATCCCTTTCCCGTGCTTGCAGTTATGTTTTTCCTCTGAAACAGTGAAATTAGAAGGCAGTTGAAATGAAAATTAACTTTTCCCCTTTCTGCTAACTTTTTTTCCTGCGATGTGGGAAGGGGTAAGAGCAGCACATCTTGGACAGCCCTGTAAACCCTCCTAGGTTCACAGGGAGACCCTATCCTCTCCTGGTCAGGAATTGGGACAGGTGAAACTGAGGCAGGGATGGCCTCCCACTGCCCTCACCCTGAAGGAGAGTCTCCCTCAGCCCCGCTGGGTGCCCAAGCAGCCTGCAGCCTGGAGGTGGCAGCTTGGCACAGCTCTGTGGGCAAAGCCCCAGGGTCAAGCTGGGTGGCAGACAGCAAGCGAAGCCCTGGGAGAGATCAGAGCTCCCTGAAGACACTGCAGGGGAAAAGCACCCACAGAAACATACCCCAAAGCCTCCCCCTCCCTTGGGTTTAAAGCTTGAGAAGGCCCGAGCAAAGCCTGGGGGACTCTGCCCCAGTCCCTACCTTATGCTGTGACTACCTCCGCTGCATCTCCCCGCTGGGCTGGGCTGTCGCAAGCTCTTGTATCTGCCGGCTGCCGCTTCTGGGAAATCGGTGCAAAGCAAGAAATGGGCGGGCGACGGTGGAGTGCTGTTTGTTTCCTATTGCACGGGTCACGGAGGAAATTCCTCAGCAGGGACAAAGGGCACCATGCACCGGCCCGGGCTGGGTGGCCACCCTGCAACGCCATAGGGCAGCCCTCGGCTTCAGCAAAGCTACCCTGTGGGGTGCCTTGTCCCCACAGGTCTTCCCCTACCCGAGAGCTCCTGGGGAGTGTCAGCCCCACAAATCCCATCTCCTCCCATGTTCCCCTGGGTTTCCCAAAGATCTCACTGGTGTCTCTACACCACAGATCCTCCAGTAGTCCCAGGGATCCTTACCCCATAGATATTACCCTTACCCACATGCATATCCCTCTGTGCCCCAGGGATGCTTGGGGTGTCTCAGCCCTGCAAATATCCACAGGGACTCGGGGGCTTTCTCCCCCTCACCCAGCTCTGGCTGCCCCCAGGATCATGAGGTCCCTGACACGTGTCCTGTATGGTCCTTCTGTATAAGTCCCCAGATATCTTTGATATGTCTTAGTCCAATAGGCTCCCTCATGGCCCAGGAGGGTCCCTCAGCTTTCCATGGTTGTCCTGGTTTCGGCTGTAAATTATTTTTCTCCTTCCTAGTAGCTGGTGCAGTGCTGGATTTTGGCTTTAGTGATACCAGGAAATAAAGGGTTAACATTGTGCCTGCTTGCTTAAGCAGTTGCTGGGCTTGGTGAAGGAGAACCATAGGAGTCAAGGTTGCTAGAATGGTGAAGCAGAATTTTAGGAGTTACAGCTGCTAGGCAGAATTGTAGTAGATAAGATTCATAGCTTAATATTTAAGACATTCTTGTTCAAATAGTATCTTTAGAAAGAAAAGGAACAAAAGACAGCCAGAGTAACAAAATTTACAAACTTGACAAGTTTCTGCTTTAAGATACATAAAACCGGCTTGTACCGAACCTGAGGTTTGGACAGGAGCCAAAACCCTATTGAGTCTGCGTGAAAGCAAGAGGTTACTCGCGGTGATGAAGAGGAACTACAGGCCTTCATCCTCACGACCCCCTAACGACCACCACCAGGAGGCACTGTGCAGGCGCACCAATGGGATGAATGCCAGAAAACTAATTATAATGCTAGATGGGAATACGTTTTGCATATGTATTAGGCGTGAAGCAATCTCATGTTTAGGTAATCATTATATGTAATATAAATGAACTGAGTGGCAAAGGAAAGGTGCGCATGCTTTTGGAGGAGCAATCCCCGTGCGCCTCAGCGCTGAATAAAAGCATACCTACTTTACAACTCTAACGAGTTGTGGAGTTCTGCGTATCATTAGTCTGAGAACAACACTGATAACACACCAATGCTTTAGTTGTCATTCAGTAGCACTTATTCTGATTAAGGACTTTTCAATTTCATGCTCTGACAGTGAGG